CAATTAAAGCGAGTGGAGACCGCCGCTACGACAAGGCTCTCCAAGTTTGGTTTCAATCTAGATCTTAAGGTTTTCAACAATTTTTATTCAATCACAAGTTACATTTGTTGTAAAAACGTTTATTTTATTTTTGAATATAATTTAACATTAAATTCAAAAAAAAAAAAAACCAAAGGCAAAATTAGATGATATTGGGGATCATGTTATTCAACATAGCATTTGTTCACAACATTCTTACAGGTTAGGAATATAAAGGAATCGTTTTCTCTATATTCTAGATACGCATTCAAAAGATTAGGTTTTTCAATAGGTATAGTATCTCGGCCTTGATACTGTCCTACGAGCTAGTCAACCGTTGATGAAAAAGTCATGGAGAGCACCGGAACCTTAACGTAATAGAAATTAAACAGACAATTAATGTTAACAACAAAAATCTTAGAAATTACTTACCTAACCAAATCTTGCACAGTGTATAGATTTTGTTAAGAGACATATATATGGTCTCCAAATATACTCTGTCAACGTTTCTGTCATTGATGCCAAAACGTTCTATCATCTTTCTAATTAGTAATTAGAAATCAAGATGAACAAGAGTTTGTAATAAACTCCTACTATTCATTCATTTTTTGATAAAGGGATACACTCCTTTTCGTCAAACGAAAAGAAAGAAGATATAATCACCTATGTGTATATTTTTGGGGTAGAAAATGCGAATTGTATTTACTAAAATGGAACGGTTTGTTTTACAAAAGCTCGGCGAAGCTCGTGGTTACATCTGGAATTCTGGCCCAAAATATAGTAGTAAAAAGCCTAATGAAACAGATGATAATCGTGAAGTAAACCATTGCTGGAGTAGATTTGAGAAGGCATGAAGCTCTATTCGGGCCAGAATTCCCTTACAAAATTAAAATGTCGCCGAACATAGTGGAAAGTTTCCAACGGGATATAGCTAGTAGTAGTAGTAGTTGAGAATGCGCAGGAATCATCCACAAGAACAAGTCTTATAAATTATATAAACCCATTTCATATATCACTCTTAAGATCAAAGGGGTTGTCTTATAAATATCATAGATATATAGACTACAAGTTAACAAAAAAAAGAAGAAGCGAAAATGAGCAAAAAGTAAATAAAAAGATTTTCAATTCAAATTTGAGACACTAGAATATGATTAATAACTACCAAATACAATCAAGAAATGTAAAAATACAAGAAACCAAGAATTTGGAGAAGACCACGAACATTTCACATAAGACCGAGGATTTCAATTACCATTTATTGGGTCTTTCTCACCATATACATATATATATATATATATATATATAAATACATAAATCGAGAAATTAATTTTTTATATAAAATACCGTATACACACATGTACATTCGTAGATAATTATCGTGTTTTGTAATTGAAAACATTTTTTTAAAAAATATAATAATTATCGTGTTTCAATAATCTATACAAAAATCAAAATAAAATAAGGAACAAAAGAAGATTAGCATTCATCAAGTTCTTTTTTTGTTAAAGGCATGCAAGTTTTTTTTTTTTTTTTTAAGGCATGCAAGTTTCTTAAGATAAATTCACAAAGTATAGTAAATTGGTAACTCTGTAGTTTCTTACTAAGCTGTACCATAATATTTTTGTCCGTGTGTAATAATCAACCGTAGATGAAGTATGTTAAAACAAACAAAATCACTTGATGACACTTGTGGGTAGTTAATTTGGCATCGTTAATTAGAGACATGTCCAATATTAGAATGAGATCCGAGTTGTGTGCTCGTTCAAAAAATCGGAAATCCTAAGGACCAACGAGAGAGAAAGATTCAAAAATAGAAATTTCACGTAAAGAGAATTAGTGATGCAGCGTGAAAAAAGGCAACGATTCCGTGCAAACCAAGGTACCTTCACCTGCATAAATAGTTAGTCACAACATCACCAATAGACTCGTCAAAAGCAAGAGAACATAGTTTCTTCTTGCTTTTGTGGAAAATAATTATATATTTTTTATATAGGAAAGGGTTAATTTATTAATAAAAAAATAAAAAGAAGCAGAAAAGAGATAATGCAGGGTGGTAGGCTTTTGACGGTGTTGGTGTGCCTCGCCTCCACGGTGGCGATGGTGAACGCCGGTGACCCTTACTTCTACTACACGTGGAACGTGACCTACGGAACCGTCGCGCCTCTCGGCATTCCTCAACAGGTGATTCTCATCAATGGACAGTTCCCTGGCCCTAACCTAAACTCGACCTCCAACAACAATGTCGTCATCAATGTCTTCAACAACCTCGACGAGCCTTTCCTCTTGACCTGGTTTGTAACCAATCTGTCTCCTAATTCCTTTTTTCACAACTTGTCATTCAATTGTTAAACCACGTTTTTTTTTACATTAAAAATTGGTGTTTTTAAAGACAAATCATTTTTTAAAAAACGAAATGAGAGCTTTCCATTTGCATTTGGAGCTAGACTTTTGCAATCATTTTTTAAAAGATTTTTAAGATTTGTCTTCATTGTATATTTGGATACTTAGTCCTGACAATGGTTTTGGGTGACGTGGCAGGATTGGACTCCAGCACAGGAAGAACTCCTGGCAAGATGGTGTGACTGGGACCTCATGCCCAATCCCAGCAGGCACCAACTTCACTTACCATTTCCAGCCTAAGGACCAGATCGGTAGCTACTTTTATTACCCATCCACCGCTCTCCACCGCTTCGCCGGTGGTTTCGGTGGCCTCCGTGTCAACAGCCGTCTCCTCATCCCCGTCCCTTACGCTGACCCCGAAGACGACCGTACCATCCTCATCAACGACTGGTACACCAAGAGCCACACCGCTCTCAAGAACTTCCTTGACAGTGGTCGCACTCTAGGATCCCCCGACGGTGTTCTCATCAACGGGAAATCCGGTAAAATCGGCGGAAACAACGCTCCTCTCTTCACAATGAAGCCCGGAAAGACTTACAAGTACAGGATCTGCAATGTTGGATTCAAATCCACTCTTAACTTCAGGATCCAAGGCCACAAGATGAAGCTTGTTGAGATGGAAGGCTCCCACGTTCTCCAGAACGACTACGACTCTCTTGATGTCCATGTTGGACAGTGCTTCGCCGTGCTAGTGACCGCTGACCAAGTGGCCAAGAACTACTACATGGTTGCATCCACTAGGTTCCTCAAGAAGGAAGTGAGCACTGTTGGTGTGATGAGCTACGAAGGAAGCAACGTTCAGGCTTCAAACGAGATCCCCAAGGCTCCCGTCGGCTGGGCTTGGTCTCTCAATCAGTTCAGATCCTTCAGATGGAACTTAACCGCCAGTGCCGCTAGACCTAACCCTCAAGGATCTTACCATTACGGAAAGATCAACATCACCCGTACCATCAAGCTCGCCAACACCAAGAATTTGGTGAATGGAAAGGTCAGGTTTGGGTTCAACGGTGTGTCACACGTTGACACCGAGACTCCCTTGAAGCTCGCTGAGTACTTCGGTATGTCCGAGAAGGTCTTCAAATACAACGTCATCAAGGACGAACCAGCAGCCAAGATCACAACACTAACAGTCGAGCCCAATGTCCTCAACATCACTTTCCGTACCTTTGTCGAAGTCATCTTCGAGAACCACGAGAAAAGCATGCAATCTTTCCATTTGGACGGTTACTCCTTCTTCGCTGTCGCGTAAGCCCTTTCTATTTTACCCATTATACCAATTGGCAACGAATCAATTGACCGGTGTCTCTTAATAAGAGATGAGATTCCTAACACTTTCTCTAAACGTTTTTCCACAGTTCCGAGCCAGGAAGATGGACACCAGAGAAGAGAAAGAACTACAACTTGCTCGATGCGGTTAGCAGACACACCGTGCAGGTGTACCCCAAATCCTGGTCAGCCATTCTCTTGACATTCGACAATGCCGGTATGTGGAACATCAGATCAGAGAACTGGGAGAGAAGATACTTGGGCCAGCAATTGTACGTCAGTGTTCTGTCACCTGAAAAGTCACTAAGAGACGAGTACAACATCCCACTCAACACTAACCTTTGCGGCATCGTCAAGGGCTTGCCATTACCTACACCCTACACTATTTAAACTCACTTCGACAAAGTTTTTTCTATTTATATGTAAAATTCTACTTTCCAAGTGAGTGTACTACGTGATTAATTAACCCTTTCCTAATTTCATTAAACGTACTATATCATATATATATATATATATCATTTAACTATAGACCAACTTGTTGTTTCCCTAGCTAATAGTGAAACGAAATCAACTTAATTACGTAATCTAAACTTCAATTTACAGAAATTAATCTCAAGAAATTAAGAAGAAAGATAATATATTAAGGTTATAATTTTTACCTCATATTGAATCTCCTCGATCATATCGATGAGTAAATCTGAAAAAAAAAAAAAAAAAATCGAAGAAACCACACTAGAGATAGAGAATAAGAGATTCAAATCATGGAATACTATTAACAGATAAATTTCACAGCTTGATTTTGTTGGAAAGCAGAGGAATCGAAGTTTGAATTGTTAATGAATTATGACAATCGGATTCGTTTAACCTATTATCAAACCCGATCGGAAAACTAAAGACCAAAACTTCAGAGAAAACAAAAAAGAAACCTAGATCGAAAGAAAACCCTAAATCACCTGAAAGGTTAAATTCCACCGCAAGCAAGCGTGACACAGTAGCTCTCATCGTCATCTAAGAGCAAAACCGGTTGACGCTTGAGGTCAAAGTCAAACAGAAGAAACGAAGAGAATGGGAAAAGAAAGTTCACGCGCGCGTGTGTTGTGACGATGCGATTCGACCAAGTTACGTTTTTTTTTTTCTTTAATGTTTTAATGTAGTAACATAATTTTTTAATTTTGTAAAAAAAACATTTATATGCACTAGATAGCCAAGTTTTACCATTTTATTTACGTTACAGCTCATGAAAAAATTGTAAAGAAGCTGGTTATTTATTGCAAACTAACATGAAATTCTTATCATACTATAATACACTATTTATATCGTATCACATTCTTTATTTAAATTATACATAAATCATACCACATCATCATTTTTACAAATAAACTTTCCAAAAAAGCAATACAACCAAGTAATCCCTAATTATAAAATGTCTGGTTTGGTGTGAGTAAAAACTTATTTTTTTGGTAAAAACTTATTAATTACCGAGAAGCACCTCTAGCCTAATTACGTTCCACCTGCGACCGTCTCTTTTAATTTCACCCAAGAGTTCGACTCTGCCGGATATATGGCTTGGCCTCCGTAATGTGGCCGCCAAAAAATAAGTTATTTATTACCTCCTCTCATGGTTTTTTTTTCTGTTGGCAGCAGCTGTTTTACAAATAGTTTCTCATTCTAAAGGAACTAAAAATTAAAAAATGTACATACATACTATATCTTTTTGAGAAGCACACGTGTTGAGCAGATAATACAAGATATGCATCATTCACCAGTGAAAAAATAATCATTCATCAAGATTTTGTTCTTTTAGAAATTAGTCGGGACTTTACGATGTAAGAGCCTCTTATACTAAAGAAAACTATAACGAAATAGAGATTTAGACCAAAAATATATCTGGGAGCATTTTAATTAGTACTACAAACCTTTTTTTCAATATTCAAGAGAATTAATTTGGTTGTAAACATATACTTTTCAAGGAAAACAAATTTTTGCAGACAGTTCTTACCTCGTTCTGCATTGTTCCTTAGCTTGAGTTCTTGGGGATCTTTACCACATAACACCTATGCGCGACACAAAGTAACGTGTAGCCAAGGACAACTTGCCGATCATGATTGTTACTTTTTCTTTTTTGGTCTTATCTTGTACATATATTTAATACAGCATAATATATATATCTACATATATAGCCTACTTTCTTCCTTAATCCTTGAAGAACCAAAGAAATTTGAAACTTAAAATGTCTTAATAGAGTATAAAGAAAGATCATTTAAATCGGCAAGTCATCCTTGGCTGCACACTACTTTCGTCACATACGCGTTTCACTATACCCACTTATATATATGGACAACCATGCACAAACCAAAAAAAAAATGTATATGTGAAAACCATATATTTTTGATATTTTTCTTCTCGGAAGTAACAATAGATATGGAAGAGGATATCTCTACATATTTGTTTGGGGTGCTTCTGAATACTAGAGGACTCACTCGCTCTGGGTTTATATAGAAGACGGTGCAGAGATAATAGAGATAAGAGGGAATAAAATAATTAAATTGAAAAGAGAGAAAGATTTGAGATTTTATACCCCCAAGAAGGTAGATAAGCAAAAAAAACCCAAATTAATTTGAAAGAAATATAAAAACAGTTGTGATATATTAAAGAATTATATGGATTCGAAAAAAAAAAGAATTAATTAAAGAGATAAGGTTCCTCCATGCTTCTCCATCCTCATAATATTAGTTTTCTTAAGCTGCAAAAACCTTTACAGCTTTAATAGATGCCATTAAGAGGTATGGGCCCATATACATATATACACATTCATATACATTACATACACATACATCTTCACATAGCCACATATATATACCATTAGTCATTAGATATATAGATTGCTCGTGTATATAACGAAAATTGTCGTCTTATATTGTGTTTAATCTTCTTTCGTTGACAAAAGAATGCGAAATTTATAAACCTTTTAAACAAAATCTTTCAAATCTATAAATTTAGATGCTCTCTAAATTAATAAATCATCAAAGATCCTTAACATTTTTATCTGAAAATATAGAGTTTCTAATAAGCTCAAAAAGGTTTTGGTTAACCTAGGTAAATAGATTCTGTTTGAGCAAAGACAAGTCACAAGCGTATATGCAATTAAAATTTTAAACGAGGGACGTGGTTTGAGAAAGAAGACCCACTTGCACAAAATCAACCTGGTTTTGGTAAGTTGATACGAACCATAAGTTTCTAATTTTAGTACTTACTAAAAAATAACTCACGAGAAAAATAAATGCGTGTAGAGAGAGAGAGAAAAAAAGAGATTCACGTTAACATTTTCAGAAGAAGAAAGGAATCTGAACATTTACGTGTAGCCCTAGTTATCCCGAGTCCCGACAGGTACTCGAAAGGGCACTATTAAAAAAACATCTATATTTAATTATTTATATAGTTTGTTTATAAAACAAGTAATCAGTAAATAGAGACCGTCAGTTAATATAATTTTTTCTTTTGACAAAAATATGTGTTTATAATTATATATATATATATACATATATATACAAATCAGAACTTGGAATCTAAAAGTTATCGAAAAGATCAAAAAAGGACCTACTCGAGTAGGTCACTTGCGTGGCCGTACATTTTTATATATTTTCCATTATTATTAACATATGAATTTAATAAGATGTCATATGTTGGTAATCAAGATATATAATTGATAAAATTTAAAGTAAACACCATATGAGATTTTACGTATGAAAACTAAAACAAATAAAAGATGAAGCAAATTTGTTATTTCAACATTGTTCTGTATATTTCAAATTTTAGGTTGTTATTAGTTTCATGTAATAAAGATATTCGGGGTTGTCTGTGTAAACAAGAAAAATGGATAGTTGGGGAAAAGAAGAAGAAAATGGGTACAATGTGATGTCAGTTGGTGGAGTGGCAGATCGATGGGATTTTCACTGCTCTTTTGGCTCAAACCCCTATGACTCATGTGCTTCCCTCTATTTTCTTGTCATGCTGAAAATCTATATATATTTTGTACGAAACTGAAAATATTTTTTAATCTTTTAACTTCAATTATGTGGAAGTATATATAGAAAACAAAATAGTATAAATTTTATCGATAATATGCATTATATGCAAATTATAATTCGGATGATGACACAGAAATATCGCTAAGTAACTAAACTACATCTAGTGATGTGAACATTTTTCTCTTATAGGGAATTTTGTATGTGAAAGAAATAAAAAGATAAACATCTTATTATATAAACTATGGTTTTCAAAGTTAACAACTCATATGACCGTGACACGTGTCAAGCTTATCGATAAGATTTTGACAAGTATAAAAAAAATTATATTAAAAAATTATACAATAAATTAGAAAGTAAATAAAAGGATTAAAATTACTAATGTTGAAAAACTATATAAAAGAAAATAATATGTAAATTACTAATTTTAATAATAAAACAATTAAAAGCATTATTCCTTTTTTAATAAAGTAAATTACTAATCTTAATACGAAACAATTATCTTATTACAGAAAGTATGGTTTTCAAAGTTAGTATAACTCATATTATCTCGACACGTGTCAAGTCTATAAATAAGATTTTGACAATTGAAAAATAAATATTAAAACATTATAAAATAAATAAAAGGATTACAAACACTATATTGAAAAGTATATAAAACGAAAATAAATTGTAAATTACTAATCAAAATAATAAAACAATTAAAAGCATTATTCCTTTTTTAATAAAGTAAATTACTAATCCTAATTGGAAAACAATTAAAAGCTTGATTCCTTTTTTAATAAAGTAAATTACAAATCCTAATAAAAAATAGTTGCAATTACTATTTTTATAAACATATATTAAAAAGACAATTATACAACAAAAAGTGATTAAAGTATGTAATTTTATTATACAAAGATTATGTTCTAAAATTAGTTATTAACATAATCGCGACACATGTCAATTAGTCAATCATATTTTAAACCATGTAAACCTTGCAAATTGATTTTTGATATCAGTTCAGAAAAAATACAAAGTCGAATATGCTTTAAAATGTAAATCTAAATTAAATAAGTTTATGAGAATCAATTTTTCAAGGTTTAAAGAAAAATATAATTCAATAGCAAAATAATAAGAAAATAAAATTAATTCAATAGGCATATAACACACTAAATATTATGTGAGTAATTTAATATTTTACAACACATGAAATTAATTAAAAACAAAAAAGTGGAAAATCGGATTCACTCGTGAAAATAAATTAAATAATATTGCAAATACAAAATTGCACAGCAATAGGACACTAATTTTATTTTCTTATTTTTACTTCAACTATTTTGTATCCCATTAAAATTTTTAAAATAATGAAAATAATTATGAAAAAGAAATAAAGGAATAATAATATATCTTTGTCAATTCAGAAGAAAAAAAAAATGTCAAATATAATTTTCAAAATTAAATCTTATTCAAACATGAATATGAAAACTAATTATTCAAAGTTTCACGTATGAGTCAGTGTACTACTAATTTTTAAAAAATAACAAATTTTATAATAATAGTAAAAAAATTTTAAAAAGGAAACAATTTTTTTATGCGGAATCGGAAAAAAAATCAAATCTTATTAACATTAATCTTATTCTAATCTTATTCGTAAAGTGTTTTGTAGCAGTGAATCGATAAGATTTGACATTTGTAAACTAAATATTTGGAAACATATTACAAAATTAATTGCAACAAAAAAAAAATAATGTAATTTTTTAAAGATTTTCCATTTTTGGATGATTTGGTATTCAATATCATATTAAATATTTATATGGATGATTTAATTTACTTTTCAAATTTTATATTGTTAATTTGTTTACGGACTTTAAGATACTCCCTCTGTTTCGTTTTAGTTGTCGTTTAAGGTTTATTCACACAAATTAAGAAAAACATTTAATTTTCTGTTTTACCCTTTATTAATATATTTTATAAAAAATTTCATTGGCTAAAACATTAAAACAGTATGGATAAAACTGGAATTTTCACCAAACATTTGCATGGAAAACCTAAAACGACAACTATTATGAAACAAAATTTAAATCTTAAAACGACAACTAAACTAAAACGGAGGGAGTATTACATTATAACCCCGTGTACACGAGGGGCCTAATCTAGTTGTTTATAAATGATGCTTATGAAACTTATTCGTAATTAGACAAATAGAGTGAAGTATTTTTGTTATGGTATAAAATTTGAAAAGAAAAAGAAAAAAACAGGGATAAGAAATTAAGAATAGTGTCATGTAAAATGAATGTAGGACTATAGTGGGGAAAAGATGAATAGAACCATCGTTTTCGGTCGTTTTGATTCTTTATACGCTTCTTTGTGGAGAGAGAGAGAGAGAGAGAGGTCAATCAAAGAATCTGAAAGATTGATCTTATGACTTTGTCAATAGGTCCATGCAGGGACCATAAGGACCCCAACATATGATGATGAATATATTAGCGAAGTATTGAATCATAGAACAAAATCACCGAAATAGTCAAAACAAAAGGTTTATCTAAATAAATGTTGCATGTTGTTGACAAAACTTATATATGTATTCTTACTGTATTTTCTTTATTGTTCACAGGACTATCATCTATATCTTTCTATGCAATTTCCCCTGAATCATTTTGTCTTATTTCCTTTTTCTTAACCCAAAAAAAAAAAAAAAAACTATAGAAATGATGGTACACACATGTCCTACCACTCTGACTCTACCGACATAGGTGTCCTGAGTTTTTCCAGAAAATCTGTGTCCGAATCCCCAAATTGATATGAATACGATACTATGACCACGATAACTCTGGAATATAATCTTCGAAAAAAGAAACAAGAAATTTCTGAAAAAAGAATGTAATCCGTTCTCCAGTGTATCTCTGTATTTTTTTACTCGTTCTCCATTATTAATTTATGACGTTTAAGAAAGACTCACAAACAAGATGAATAAATGATACAAGGGGATTTTATGGCATATGCAGATTTTGTTTTTGAAGTAATAATGTAACAAATCGACATTGAAGTACCTTCCACAATGCGCACTCTGCACAAGAAAAGACTCGTCAAAAGCAAAGCAAAAGGTGGGGGATGGCTCTTAAGGTCAACAGCTTAAGAATCTTGAGGAGTCTCGAATCTAGTCGGTGTATCGATACCCGCCATACAGCAAAGTCCACTGATCAAGATGAGAAGAAAAACGATTCCCTGCAAAAAGAAAGAGAAAAGGACGAGACATAATCAGAGGCTTTTACGAAATCTAAACACATTTAATGAAATTAGCTTCCGGCTAGATATGACCAAGATGCTCATTAAACTTGTCCATTCTATGATGTTCATGAATCTTGCTTGAGAACGATGAAAACCAAAAATCACAGAGTAAAAGGATTAATTACCACTAGTATGCCCTCCAAGAGTGATGACTTAAATTTGCAGAGTTCATCACAGGCAGTTGCAACTTCAGGAGTGCTGTTTCCTTTAGCAGTTTCAGCTAGAAACCTTTGGAGAGTTTTGTAAGATGTGTACCAATAAGGATCAGAAACATAAAGAGCTGTATATTTACTGCCGGATTGTTCTACAGAACTAACAAGTTCCAAGATGCTTTCACCTGCAGAATAGGTAAAAAAATTGCTTAATTTCCTAGTTCTCAAATTATCTATATGTTAGTATTATTTTGCAATAATGATCTTCACACTTACGCTCTGAATGAGATTGAGCAGCTTGACTTTTTGATTCAGAACCCTCGGAACAGAGCACAACCAAGTCAGTTTCTCCTTCTTTCCTTGTTTCTCTTCTAGCAAGCAAATGATCCTGTCAATTATTTATGAGTAATTATGGAGTGAAGTTGAGGGGTGATCACTGAGAAGGCATGGGATTGGGAGTAACAAAAACATTAGACAATAAGTAGTACTTTGAAAGACTGCAAGTCTGATAGTTTCTGAATTGTTCCATCCTGAACAAAGCACGAATCTGAGAACACGATATTGCTGACTCCAACATTGTTGGGGCAAGCTTCTTTAAGTCCTGATAGCAACAAATTCTCCATCCTTTCTTCCTCTGGCGCAGCAATATATGGGAATGCCAATGAGAAGTTGGAAGCTGTAAACAGATTCTGTTCAAACAAAGACTTGGATGTTAGAGTATTGTGAAGTTTAAAGCAAAAAACTATGTCAGAGATCTGTGTTATGAATGCAATATCAGAATTCCGTGACGAAGAAATGATAACGTGCACTTACACTCAATGTGTTAACAAGGGCAGAATCCGAGTTCCTTTTAGAAGAAACATCAGAAGACAGTAACTGCAGGCGGAAGAGAACGTATATATTAGAATTCTCAGCATAGCACAGAAGATACAGAGCAAAGACGATTTCCGAAAAACATCAGTTTCTTCACAATATCAAAACAAGAAACCAAATATCCAAATGCTGATTTATGCTTAATGTTAAAACAAAGGTACTACATCACTCACTCATACAGACTTGACATGATAAAAATATCCTTACCTCTCTTCCTATGAACACAAGTGCAACATCAACAGGTTGCTCAAGCTTCTTCTCTGAGCACTAAACAAAAGAGACAGTAAAATGACAATAAGAAAAACCATTTGACATCCAGTGACTTGTAGAATTGATAATCATAAGATCTTATGAAGAAACCATACCAGAAAGTTTGACCAACCTCCTTGAGTGAAAACAGAACCTACTAGATCCTTTGCAGACATGACCTGATAATTTACAACCTCATCCAATTCACCATTAGCAGACCTGATTTTCATAATCACATAAACCAATCAAACCAGTAATCTAGCTAACTCACAAGTCCTAGGCTTTTAACACAATTCCATCAATCAATTTAACAAGGATTCGAGAAAAGGAGATGCATAACTGGAGATGCGGAGACCAGAGGAAAGCAGGAACGGTGTTTGTAGAAGCCAATCCAATTTCAAAGAGAGAGGCCATAGATAGAGCCACCAATAACGCCACCGCACTAATTTGAATCTTCATCATCTTCGTCGTCGGAACAATCCTACCGGAGACAAAGAAGAAATCAACCGAACAATTCCTCACGACTAATGAAACAATCAACAAATTCAAAGATAATCACAAACCTAGAGAAATCGAGATCGTTTCCAGAAATTGACGGATCAATAGATTTGTATCCAACTTTCAAATCCAGAGGAAGAAGAGATTCATATCTCCGATCTGTAAGTAGAGGTCGACATGTAAGGAGTTAACGACGTCGTTTTGAAACGAAAACCGCTAACCGAGATAACCGGTTTTGGTTAAGTTCAGATAATAACCGGTCTGGAGTTTTGGGCTAGATTAGGCTTTTAAAGATGTTCCAATACGGCCCAAAATTTCTAGACTCCGTTAAGCCTCCGTCACTGAACAAGAAACGGAAAACCTCGTTAAATCTTTTATAACTTCGCTACGATTGAACAGAGAATATTTCATTTTTTTTTTTTTAGTTGCCTCTTCTGCAACGCGATCCCGCCAAAGAAACTCTTATCCCTCACGAAAATTCTCAAATCGTCGTTCTCTCTCGCTTCACCGGTTTCGTTAGCCGGGAAATTGCAATTTAAGATCAGAATCGTTGAGCCATTTTGTCTAAGGAAGAGACATTGGAGTAACAAGTAACGAGGGCAGCTAGGAGGTTGAGATTTTACGATGCTTTGTGTTTCTTTACGAAATAGAATTCACAATTGGCTTCGCGACTACGTTAGGCTCCAATCTGTCGTCGTGATTCTTATCTACGCTCAGGTAATCCCGTAATTGCTTTGTAGTTGTTTCATTCCCTCCGATTTCGCGTTTTTCTCTCGTTAATTGTTCCTATCTGTTTGGGATTAGGGTTCTTCGATTTCTCTGTCGATTTTTTTTTTTTTCGTAATTGTGATAATAAGTGCAAGAAACTGATATTGATGAATCATTTGTAACGATTTGTTTCAGATAGGGTGCGCGTTGATCGGTTCACTAGGGGCATTGTACAATGGAGTCTTGCTGATAAATTTGGCGATTGCGTTATTTGGGTTAGTGGCAATCGAGAGTAATAGCCAGAGTCTAGGCAGAACCTATGCGGTTCTTCTTTTCTGCGCCATTCTTCTTGATGTCTCATGGTTCATACTCTTCTCCAACGAGATTTGGTATGCCACTATCTTTGGAACAGCCTTTCTTGTGATCATGATCAGATAGATATTTGGTCTAAGAGTTTGCTCTGTCTTCTTTAATTTGCATTGCATCACATGTTGTAAACTGTCCTGATATTCTCTTGATTGGCTCAATATCTTTTTGAAATGATTCTTCTTTAAACCCTTGCTATGTTCTGTTTAGACTCTGTTGAGCCATTATTCATCTGCTGCCTGTAAATGACAAAAGATTTATTTTTTTATGCAGGAACATTTCTTCTGAGATGTATCAAGTCTTTTACATCTTCTCTGTGAAACTCACCCTGGCTATGGAAATTGCTGGGTTCGTTGTGAGGCTATCGTCCTCTCTGTTATGGTTTCAGATCTATAGGCTGGGAGCTTCTATTATAGACTCTTCGTTTCCCCGTCAACCTGATTCAGATTTACGAAATAGCTTCTTAGAACCTCCTCTTTTAGCTAGGCAACGTTCACGTGATCCAGAATTACGGAATAGCTTCTTACAGCCTCCTGCTATAGCTAAGCAACGTTCGCGTTCTGATGAAATCTTGGAAGATTCTATTGACCAACCGGCCTCCTACACTCCTCTGTTTGATGGCGGCCAAAGCAATATCACTTCGCCCAATGCAAAACAGGTCTTTTTATGTTCTACCTATTCTTCTCTTAAGTTGTTTATGTGCTCATTGTAGTTGAGGTTTTATACTTGTTTGTCTATGTTTTCTGAACTGAGTTTGCAATTATCCAATTGGCTTTCCAGATGCTTGGTTACTCTGCCAAGATAGCTTCTTAGGACCTCTCTTTTGAAACTGTAGTTGATGCAAGATAATGAGAATTGGATGAACTATCTAGACAAAACAACTATGCTTCTTAGCTCTTTGCCACTCTAGGTTAGATGCAACATGTTTCTCAAAAACAAACAAGAGTCCCACAGCGTTGATATTATATCATCATAGTATGCTGCCTCTCTTGTCTCATCACTCCTCTAAAACTTACACAGCCATAGCAAGGTGGTTTTCATCCTCTTGTATCCTTTTGTAGGTGATTAAGCATCATTCAGCTGGAGACATTTACAAAGGATCCCCATTGTCTGCTGCAGAAGCCTCTCGGAATAAGTCTCCTCTATCCAGATCCTTGGAAGCACTTGATTCTAGTCTCTGTTGATAACTTGATATACAAAATCTAATGATTGGGGCCGGTACTATACTATACCTTGTTTCTGGTGGAGTTTACTTGCACACATCACCTTTTTAGGACATAGAAAAGAACAGTTATTGCTCTTGATAGTGAATCCTTGCACTCAGTGAATTGCATGTGTTGGTAAATTTACATTCCTACTTGCAGCATTGCTCTTCAGCTTTTATCACTTGTACATGGCATTTTCCAACTAATTATGTCACTTTTGCAGGAAGATAGCTTTTGACTCGAGCAACTTCATTCAACAATTCTAAGGCGATTCTTTGTTTTCAATTTGAAGATCCAGATCCTAGATTTACATAGTGGGTGACAAGAAAGAACCATGCCTCTCATTTTACTCGAAACTGTATAGAGATTGGGACTAGGAATGTACATTAGCATTCTTTTCTGTACATGAAAAATAGGTGAATTGGAGGGTTAGTATGAAGATATATTTTTCATCCAAATGTTTGGTAAAAAAGTGAAGATTTTACAATTGAGATATAAAGTGCCAACATGATTTGCCTATGTTTATACTTTGTAATATAAACATAAGACAACATGAGGAGGTTTAATCATGGTTTTCCTCAAGTTCTTCATCCAACTCATATGATGATGCATAGGGCGTGGCATGGGGCCTGATGTTGAACTACCTGCCCAGCCCATGTGAATTGCTAAGTTGCGATATACTAATTAATAAATTAATTGGGCCAAGTCAGTAAATGAATAAGCAATGAATGATTTCGTGCAAGTTTGACTAAAATTCGAAAACTTATCCACGTCGGTCTGACTATTATTGATTAGAGAGAGATTTGATTAGATTAAATAATAATTTTGAAAAAGGGGTCAAACAAAAAAGTCTGCGTGGATCTCCAGCCGTTTTCAGACACAAAATTCTTGTATCGACGATGATCCCTATCTGCTGAAATTTGGTTCTTGGTCGCTCCTCTACTGTTTTCTTCTAGTTTCTTTGGATATTCATTCGTTGATTTTGGTTTTGAAGAGGTATGTTTAACAATAAACCTTATTCCGATTCTCCTATTAAAGATGTTTTTGATTTCTGGGTTGTGTTGTGTTGTTTGAATTTCCTCGTTTGAAATCCCTAATCTCTACTAATCTTCCGAGATTGAGTTGTGATGAGTAAAAATCGATTCGAGATTTCTCTGTTTTTATTATTTTTTCTGGCTGGTTTGATCAAGTCTCTGATTCGCCATCGTTTCTGCATTTCTTCATTTGGTTAAATTCTCAGTGTTTTATTTGGCTATATAAGCAGAGAGAGAGTTAGAACAAGGAAGGATTGAGATATGGAAATGGAAGATGCAACAGAGACTAGGTACTGGTGTCACATGTGCTCTCGATCGGTGGTTCCATTGATTCAAGACCAAATCATCAATTGCAATTTCTGTCAAAGTGGATTCGTTGAACAAATGGATAATGATGATCAAGATTCGGATCATCAGGCTGCTGATTCTCTCTGGGCTCCTATCTTGATGGAGATGATGAACAATCATGACCAACAACATTCAACGAATCAGGAAGACGAAGATGATGGTGATCAGAACAATGATGGAGAAATTGATATTACTCGGCAACTTGAAGAGATTAGGAGGATAAGGACTAGACATTCAACTGCCATTGTTAATCTGCTTCAAGGGATTCGAGCTGGCTTATTGATCGAATCCGAGACCAATGATGATAATCCCGATAATAGCGAGCTTGTCATCTTGATCAACTCCTTTAACCAAAGGATCAGGGTTCATCAAGATTCTGTCGACACGGCTTCTGTTCCTTCTGGATCTTTGGGTGACTATTTCATTGGACCTGGATTCGAGACGTTACTTCAGCGTTTGGCTGAGAATGATCTGAACAACCGGTATGGGACACCTCCAGCTACAAAAGAAGCGGTTGAGGCCTTGGCCATGGTGAAAATCGAAGAGAGTTTGTTGCAATGTAGTGTCTGTTTGGATGATTTTGAGATTGGAATGGAGGCTAAAGAGATGCCTTGTAAGCATAAGTTTCATAGTGACTGCTTGTTGCCATGGCTTGAGCTTCATAGCTCATGCCCTGTTTGCAGATATCTGCTTCCTACAGCAGATGATGATGAGCCGAAGAAGGATGCAGACACATCGAGAAACGATGATACCAATGGCGATATCAGTGATGCTTCTATGGCGAGCAATTCATTGGTTAACTAGACTAAGGCTCACAATCTGAAGACAGGTTACTTGAACAGAGGAGAATTGATGGGATCGTTTGAGATCAGTCTTTAGTGTTTAATGTTATTTGGTTGCACATAGTTTCTCAGATTTGGTGGAAAATGGATTATTTACATCTTCTTTCTGGTTTGCTTCAAATTTGTTTCATTTAGTTAACTAGAAAAATAACTAAGAATATTACAACTATAGTGACCAGCATTAATAAATAAATAAAAATGTAATAACTTATGCAGTCATGCCAATCTTATTTGGTTTCTTTGTGCAGAAGACTTGATCTTGTCTTATGTGTATTATTATTAGTTAATTACGTATCTCTATTACGACTGTTTCAAATCTCTTCACACGGTAAATTTAGAGACCTTGGAATTGTTTTTAAAATAGACAAATTGCATGGAAAATGTCTACGAAGTGAAAGAATATATATAATGAACCTTGTGGCTTGTCGTATATTTGGTTTGATATAAATACGCATAAGTTTAGAGCTTTATTTATACCGTACCATTCAAGAAATAATCAACTCAAAGTTAGAAAAAATGAAAGGAAAGTTGTGGTTGATCGGTTTGCTTTTGGTTCTCTCTTTGGTTATTTCATCGAAGGCGGTCTCCGCCCACCATACAAGTTTCGTAAACTTAGTGAGTATTTATATTTATGATGTTCTATATGATCATATAGTGTAGTATACACTCTTAACATACCCAGTCATTACTAGGATTGGTCTATACGTATGTGTACATTAAATCTTGTAAGTTGTAGCGTATGACATACCACAATACAAAGGCATCAACACACACATAAAATGTTCAGAGTGTTACCGCGTGAAGAATGTTTCTACAAATTCTGAAATGGCAGAATGTTCCACAGTTTGGAATTGTTTTCTCGATGACCCAAGTTTACTGGAAAAAAAAATGTTTATTCCACTTTTTTTCATGAATTGGTTAGTAAAAATAAAGAAGCATTCCTTTGATTTTAGTTTTGTGATTCGTGTACTTTAACTGATTCATGTTTTGCATTAATCTACAAATATATGCATGGGCGGACCCAGTAAGGAGAGAGGGTGGGCAACTGACCTGGTAAAATAATGATATAAACCTTTTTATGTGTAAGAAATCAGAAAAAAAACAGCAGCTGAGTTGGTATTTGTGTGTCCATGACCTCCGTATCCTGAGTTCAAGTCCCTGTTTTGACGTAATAGGTTTAATTTTTTCCCTTTTTTTTAAATGACCTGGGTAAAAACAATTCCTGGGTCCGCCACTGAATATATGTATTATCGATATATATATATCTATACTAAGAAATGACTTAAATTGTCTAGAAGAAGATTTAAGAGTGTCAATGAAGATTGGAACACCTCATAGTGACTCGCCACCAGCACTCGGATGTAGGAATGGTGGATCTTGTAGAAAGCCGCCACCGGGAGGCCATGGCGGATAGAAAAACCACTAACATCTAGATTCTTCCTTTTCATTTCTTAGGATTTCCCAACAAGCGAATTTCTTTTATTATATGTATATATATGCTTAATTAACTCAATAAAGATAACGATGTTCATATTCTTAAACAGCAAGTAAGATCCTATCGGTACCAAATTTCCATGCCCTATTTATAAAGACTTGTTGATCAAACTTGCTGTTCTTTTTATTGAGTGTGACAATATCCTGTCCGTTTATTTGAATCAAGAAGACCAAGTAATTAATCATCTTATTTTTTTTTTTTTTTGACATCTTTGAATTGATAAGGTCCGATCCATAGCCAATCCCTACTATGCGGGGTAACGCGATTCAGTGGAGTCGAACTTCGGTGGGAAAGACGGAATCGAATAGAGTTAACCACTTAACTAAAGGCACATCTTCAATTAATCATCTTAATTCGTATACAAGCATATTTGACCTTTTCCTAATGTACTATGCATATTTTATTTTTTTTAAATTTCTTCCACACGCTATTTATATATATATATATATATATATATATATATATATATATATATAACTGAGAATCCCGGACTAAAGCCCAAACTAATTAAGACTGGACATATAAGAAAATGTCGGATATTTTTTCTATCTAAATGGTGCACAGTAAATTTTTTTTTTTTTTTTTTTTGTCGAAATGGTGCACGGTAACTAACCATGATTAATTAATCTATGTTATTAGAATGAAATTATTTTATTGTGTAGCCTTTGCGTCGTCAAAGCTTTCAACTTATAAGGAACCTCGTAGTCATAAATGTGATTCGATATAAATAATACACATGTATGAAGCTGTGTATATAACGTATACCACCAAAAAAAACAAAACAAAAATGAAGGGAAAGTTGTGGTTGCTTGCTTCTCTTTTGGTTCTCTCTTTGTTGTTTTCACTCAAGATGATCTCAGCTGATCAACCATATAAATTTCCAAAAATCAGTGAGTATCATTAATATTTGTCATCCGCTTTGTTTCATCTATATTTACATATGCTTAAGCCAAATTAAGGAATCTATATTCGAATTTAACCACCGCATGCATATAAACTCATTGGAAGGATCTATAACCTCATGCTTCGTACACTATTTTTTGTAGAAGACGAAATAAGAGAAATGATCCATATTCATAAGACAAAGAAGATCCAAACACCAGGTAGTGTGACAACGCCTGCGGGCCAAGGTACACCATCCAGTGGAGCTCCCCCGCACGCCGGTTGATATGGTTAGACGGATCGGTCAATCACCAATGCATATTCGTACATCGGTTTTTTTTTTTTTTTTTTTTTTTTTTTGTTCTTTAAGATTTGATATTAAAATATTGTATGATTAGTTGTTTATGAAGGACAGTCCAAATCCGGGGAAAAAAGGATTTTTGTTTGACTTGTACATATTTTTGTTTAAAATGCTGATCAAATAGAATATATCTATCGTCAATAAATTAATTAATATTAAAAGTTTAGTAAACTTACAAAAGAAAAAAAAAGTTTGATATCCTTTGATCCAAAAGAGCGTGTATATATATAGTCAAATCTCCCCAGAAACATAGCTATATCTTGACTTATATGATTATATATGTATAATATAATATGTTATGTAGAAAGTCTTCTGACGCGAACGCTACGTGAAAACTTGATTAATAAGTTATGATAAAACTTAAATCATATATGTGATTGATATATATCTATACTCATGTACAAGGTAATTAAGGTATCACCCAGAAAAATGATGGTCAAGTTCTGTTTGATTGCTTCGCTTTTGGTTCTCTCTTTGGCGATTTCATCGTACGTCGTTTTAGCACAATCCAGTAAGTATTATTGATATTTGTATCATCCTATTTCCTATATATGCTAATCCAGTTACTTTTTTTCTTTTCTTTTTAAATTTCAATTCAATTTTCTGATACCTAATGAAAATTTTATAGAAGAAGAAACAATAGGAGAAACGAAACACATTCGAAAGATAATGAAGATCAGAGCACCTCGTAGTAAGTCGCCACCCGATCGCCAATGGGGTGAGAGTGACTCGCCCCAAGCCGCAGGTCCAAATTCAGTCTAAGGCGATGGATATACGATTTGTGGCTAGTTCGTATAATTAATTAATCTCAAAAATGTTCCTGATTTGTGAACCTTATATATTTAGTTATGCATAGTACACGATAATCAAAAAAAAAAAAGTAAACCAATGTTTTGATTATTATTATTAGTTTTTTTTTGGGGCTTTCTCCATACAATTTTTTGTCAACGAACCAAGCTGTCACATAATTTTAAATTATGTACGTAAGAATATTGACCTTGTCTTTTGTACTCACTGGGTTATTATGGGACGTGAAAACACATTTCTAGATAACGATGTTCATGATCTTTGACTTCTTCTATTAATTTTTTTTTTATACGATATCTGTGTATGCTTTACGACGATCATCACTAGGTGTGAAAGAACTTATTTTTTTGTTTAATTAGAAAAACGCTGTTGGTAAGTCTGGTCGTCCACAATAAATGTCCTTTAATTTTGATCGGGATCCAATCACAAATTTGATCATGATAAAGCTTCTCTCGCCTTTTTTTTTGTTGGTATTATTTTCCTGGAAATTTTTAGACTCCAATGTAATAATCATCATTATGAAACTTGACTAATGCTGTAGCTTTAGCAACGACTTGATCGATATAAATACCCATTAAGAGATGGGGATCCACAATATATTGCACTAAATTTTGTAAGTTTATAAGAATCATAGAAATGCAAGGAGTACTCTTGTGGTTGATAACTTTCCTTCTTGTCTTTTCTTCGGCATATTCGTCCCAAAAGCTCATACCTCAACCCATCAAATCCCGTGATTTCAGTGAGTATTTTTATTTATGTTATTTTCTAACTGATTCTTGGTCTTGATCAGTTATCATCTATATGTTCCAGTCAATCTCCATGTGCAAGAGAAAAATAAGATAAAAAGATTCAAATTCAAAAGATAATATCAATAAAGATTGATGCAGTATCCATGTCTATGGTGTGTAGTTAAAAAAAAAAAGGGTTAACTCAAATATATTCATTGTTATATTTGTAATTTCCTATATTAATTTTCTTATAGAAGAAAAAATTGCAACACCGCATAGTATATCGCCACGACGCCACCCGCAAGGGACTGTATTAAAACATACCAGCAAGTAGACACAAGAACATTATATTCATGTAAAAAGACGCCACCCAGAGGCACCGGCGGTTAGACATATACATGTTTCAAAAATTGTTAATAGTTTTGGCAGTTATAATGATTTTACTAAGTACGATAAAGCCAATTGTAGCTTTCGGCTTTTACCGAACACGATAAAGTATAATGTAATTCGTATTGTTTTTGGAAGATATATTTGCATTGAAAGAAAATTGGAGGTTTGTACTTTGCGACGAGAGTATAACTTCTCTTTCACAAGTACAATACACCGAGTGGCGCGTTTACATTTGTTCACTTTGGACATAAATTATATATATCGGTAATTAATTTCATGGAAAAAAGGAGAATTTTAAAAAGAAACTATATACATATCTATACGTAACATATTACCAATTAGACACTTAATTTACAGTCTTCAAATGTGTATAAGCTTTTTGTTTTTCTTTTCATGTGCTCTGGATTTCAAACAATATATATCAATTTCAGTCATGATCCAATATTCAAAAACTGATAACGTGTTGCATGGACCATTGTTGAAGATGAGCAATGTCAAGCATGTGTTCAAGGGTAGGATTCAGATGAAAAAACAATGTTGGTGTCGTGTCTGACTACATTTTTGACCATTTCAAATTAAATACGCTATAGAAAAAAAAATTGCATTAGATCTTTTTTCAAACTACGATTAGATGAGCTCAGTTTTTTGAACAGAAATACTGGAAGCGTCGTAAATAATCTACGTATACAATCATAAGAACTAAGACCTAGTCTTACATGTCTATATTTTATGTTTATTTCAATTAAGAATTAAGACGACCTAGTCTTTTATCCAGTTCCTTTGATCCGTGTCGAACCAAATTCTACTTTTGGATGGATAAAGATATGCTACTTTTTAACCATTTTATGATCAGTAACCAAGAGACTCTCCTACCAAAAGTAAGTAAATTGATCCATATCTCGTATATCTTATTCTACATGGGTTTTTTAAAATTTGGATGTAGGCTTCATAACATATTTGTATAGCAATTCAACAGAAATAATCAACGGATCGGAAAAGGTTTCCCTTGTTTGTTTGTCTACGTGGAAGACTATTCTTGTTCTTAAAGTCAGTCAGACTATATATTTTCCACACGTTGTCTCGTTCTAAACCTCATTTTTAATTTGAAATTGGTATAAATACACACAGACATACATAGAACTATTTTTAACTACAACTACAACACAAAGATGAAGAGAAATTTGTGGTTGATTGCTTTGTTTTTGGCTCTCTCTTTGATGATTTCATCTTTTGCAGCTTCAAGTTGGCCATACCAAAACCGTAAACTTTGTAAGTAATATATATATATATATATATATATATATATATATATATATATATATTTATCATCCGATTTGATGCATATATTTTTCTTTTATATGACTAACGTCGTCGATTTATCTAACAGTGAGAATAGAAGCGCGGCCTAGTAAGTCAAGACCCGCGCCGCAGTGTTGTTAGCAAGGCGAAGGCTACAGAGAAAGATGGACCCATTTTTAAAATTATTTTATTTTATAGTTACAAAAAGAAAAAACACGGAATCAACAAAATAAAATATGTATTTAATAGATTCTTTCATAAATGAGCTACAAATAATAGTTCTGAAGTTGTAGAATTTTACGTTGTACTGAAAATAAAAGCCCATTGTAACATTGTTTCAGACATTGCAGTAAGTAATTTCTGACGGTAACTCACTAACTCACTTTATTACTTGATAAAAGAGAAAACGCTATCGTGTCTATACGCATTTGGATGTTCACGCTCCACACTAAACTCATGATATATACTATGTATATAAGTATATGAGATATAATGTTTTGTCAAATATTTGAAATTAAACTGTGAAAGAACGTGAAAACTCCATTTATTTATATTATCTTTTAATAACTCTTGCGTGAACAATCAAACTCTCATTCCCTACCTACAGAAGGAAAATTCATGTGAAAGGTAATTCTTGTTATAATACAATAGTACAAATTTGTAATTTGTATACATCCAAAAATAAATTCTACTAGGTATGATGTTGATCGATCGATAAATATGTTTTTTATAGTATTAAACATGACACCCTGTCTCTAATTTGACCTCATTAAACTAAACAATCAATCTCAAGCAACTTCATCGATAAAACAAAGTCAAAAAACTTATTAAATCTTCTTATTTAACTAATGTTATTTCTTAGAAGCATCATTTGTTGTAAATGTGTTTTTCTCTTCACAACTCCACCGCATCAAATTTTTCTCTTTATATGACCACCCATTTTAAGTGTTTGCAAAGTCCTAAAACCAATTATCAGCAAAAAAAGATGAACTGGAAGTTGGTTTTGCTATTTGGTTGGATTCTCCTCTCGTCTATTGCATCAAACCCAACTTTGGCTAAAGTAACATATCCACCTCGCACGACAAGTAAGTATTCATCACCTATCTCTTTTATACTTGTTATATGATTGCGATATTCAGATCAAATCCGTGGATCGATATCTACAATTACAATTGCCACGTAAAACTCGTTGATGTGTAGCAAAAGTGGATCAATAAGTGCTAACTAAATTAACTAGCAACACTTAATAATTGCTTGTTGTGTGTATCACATATATAGAAAATATACAATTGTTGATATATATACTTGTATTTTTGAAGAAAATAGAAAATTCATTTCACTAATTTGTTTCATGGTTTTTCGAATTTTAAATAGGAAAAGGGCTTGGAAATATACACATCAACAAAGGAATGAAGATTGGCTTTACAGGCAGTTTTTCTAGACCTGCTCCTCACGGAGGCGGTCCACCGAAGATCATTTCTAAGTTGTGAAATGTATTTATCTTAATTAGCGCTCTAGTCTATTAACTTGTGATTTCTGATTATTTGTAAAGTTGTTTCATTGTGTGTGGCTCTTCGAATAAATGAAATGGAACTTCGATATCTAAATTATTCTTTAGTTCACTATACTAACTAAAATTGAGTATTGAGTGACAATAAAGTATTTTCTAACTTTCTCACCAAAATGATGATGATTAACATTGACTTTTCAAACTCATGCAATAATAAGGAAAAAAGACAAGACTAAAAAAGTCAATATGTTTTCATTGCATGCATTGACGTGTATCAATATCACACCAACTGTAATGAGAACGACCCTGATTTATATAATCTCTGCCTAACAGTCTAATTAACACTAATTTATAGTTTATAAGAGATTATTTATACTCGGGGAGAAAGAGGCAGAGAGAAAAATGAGTCTCAAGTTCATTCTAGTAGCTTTGCTTCTACTTTTATGCATCACATTTTGCAATTCGACCATCATAACAATTCGACCATGCATCACAATTTGCAATTTGATTAATGTCTAAGTTCAAATATTGTTGTTATATGGAGTTAAAAAGAAGTTTATAATTAAGAAGAAGAAGAAGAAGATTCACAATCACAAAGGAAAGAAGATCACCATTTGTTGCAATGATTAATTAAAAGAAGCTGTTAACATTTTCATAAGATACCATCGTTCAATTTTTATGAATATGAGATCCGAACAAGACCAAACTTCAAAGCTTGAATAAGAAAAAGTGTATTTGCTATATCTCAATCATTAATTAAGGGGCTTTCGGCCCATTACACTTAGAGCATCTCCAATGGAGAGTTGTCTCCATGGAGCTCTCTCAATTTTTTAATAATAAATTTGTTGAAAATTTGAGATGAAAACTTTTGTTTTTTTTTAAATTTTTCATACTCCAATGGTAGGTTCTCTAGTGTCTAGTGAGGTTCTCTTAGGAAAAAAAAAAATTATTAAAAATATTATTTCATAAAACTTAATAATTATTACAATTTATAAAAATATTAAACATACATTATTTCAAACATTTTTAAAAAGATATGCAAATAAAAAAATTGGAATAACGATTAGTTTTACTCTCGATTGTTGCGAAAGTTTCGCCAGATATGCTCAACCAAGTCAGCTTTCAATTGTTGATGCATATCACGATCACGAACTTGATTTCGTCTGCCCATTATATTCGCGAGATTTGTAGGCATCGCTGTAGAATACGCTAAATCGACTTGAGAAGTTTGGTTTGCTTCATCTTGTGTGAATTCCAAAACATCAAACTGAGTGTAACCATCTCTCTCGTCCTCTACTATCATATTGTGCAGTATGATACATGCTCTCATTATCTTTCCTATTTTTTCCTTATCCCAAACAAGAGCTGGGTTTTTAATAATGTGAAACCGAGCTTGCAATACTCCAAATGCACGCTCGACATCTTTACGGACTGCTTCTTGTTTTGTACCTGGAACAAGATATTGGACCATCCTTCAACGAATCTTTCTTCTCCATCGCCAATCTTCGATTCGGTTTGACTCCATTCGCCGATGGTTTTAACCGTCTATCCAGCTGATGATTCCCGCGGCAGGTAAGTCTCACATACCACGAAATCGGCGTCGATTCATCGGAAACTCATGGAAACGGCGTCGATTCGTCGGAAAATTTTAACGCCATCGAGAGAGACTTCCGCGTTTTCTTCTTTCTGTCGAGAAAGAAAAAAGAACAAAAAATAATGAGTGTTTTTTTTCCTTTTGGTAAAATGTTTCCTCCAACCAATAAATGACACATGTGCGGTTCTCTGAAAATCTCAAATTCCTCTTAAGAGAAGCGATTTTCTTTTATTTACTCAGTTTTGAATTATTTTTGATCAAAATAATCAAGAGAACTCCATTAAAATTTTGAGACAACCTCCCTTTGGAGGTGCTCTTATGCTCGAAATTTAATTGATGCATGGGAAGATTCAAAGATTCCATTACACTCTTTTTGTAACTTACGGGGCTAAAGTGAAAACTATTGAAACTTGAAGGCATGATTTCAATATTCCAAATTTCCACTTTCTTTTTCTCCTCCGCCGTAGCCGGTGGTTCTTCATGAAATCTATCGTCTGAGATTTTTTCTCTACTAGTTGAATAATATTGAAGATTTCGAAGACTACCCAATACCGCGTTTCACGAAAAGCCAGATTCTTTATCTTCCCTAATCGTATTAAAGCTACGAAACCCTAGATTTCGTGTTCAAAACTCGGATTTGTTCGCTATCGAAAGGTCTGACCTTTAATCTTATTCTTGAGTTTAAATTAATCGTTCGGATATGGTTTTTCGTACTCTCTAGGAGGTTTTTTTTTCCATTGGATCTTATCAGTATTATAGCTTAGAGGAAAAAGTGTCATTATTTTGGAAGATGAACCCTTTTGCATGATGAAGCTATCTAGTTAAACCTTATAACTCTGAACCTTGACGCCTCTCTTCCTTCGAAGTCACTTCCATCAATCGATTTAGGAACTATTGCATGAACCCAGAAGCGGATTGGTTTGTCTCTCTCTTTGATCTCGATTTTTCAATTTTTCCCTTCAATGTTGTTTTCACTTTCTTTGATTGAAAAATCAGACGTGTTTGGTCTTGGTTCGAACAATTTTCGAGTACCCATCTCGATTTCTCTTTATTCCTTGTTGCAAAAATGTCAAATCCTTTGTATGTCTCATGTTGAGGAAAAGCTGCACACAAAGTGTTTGTCAAAATGCCACAACGAAACTGATTTATTATTATTCCAGATCAAATTATTTCTCGGTCAAATACAGGGGCAATGTCTACAGAGACATGTTCATCTATATCTTGTGCATTGTAGAAAGCTATAGTTGCTCGTTGACACTGCAACTATAATGACAAAATTCTGAAACATAGTGCTTGATTGACTCATTTTCTAAGTGCTTGGTTTAACACCAATTTGATATTATAAGCTATAAGCATTTTGTCTTGTGGTCTTGGACCGTGTCTAGTGTCTATTATCTTGTCTGAGTCTTACTTAGTTTGATTGTGTGGATTTTGGTTTTGTGTAATTTTAGACGAATGGCTGATCAAGGCTTGGAAGGGAGTAATCCTGTGGACCTTAGCAAGCATCCTTCAGGGATTGTTCCTACTCCTCAGTGAGTTCTTTTGTGCTTTTGTCTCTTAAGATTTCGTGTTTGTTTGATCCTTGTGGATAACTTGTTTTTGATGTTATGTTTCTACAGTCAATTTAGACTGCAAGCTTACAATGTGGTTTCTGTTTGTTTGTTTAGTAGTCCAGTCATTTACAAGATGCCACCAAGAATTGCTGCCATCCGTCTTGTAAGCTCTCATCGTGAGGTCTACGAACCATGTGATGATTCATTTGCACTAGTTGATGCATTACTCGCTGATCGCACCAACCTGATAGAGCACAACCCTAAGATTTGTATGGAGATTGGATGCGGAAGCGGGTATGTCATAACTTCACTTATACTTCTTCTTAAAAACGAAGTTCCTGGTGTTCATTATCTCGCCACTGACACAAACCCGATAGCTACAAGAGTGACAAAAGAAACTCTACAAGCACATGGAGTCGATGCTGATGTCATCTGCGCAGATATAGCTTCAGTTCTAGAGAAGAGACTTTCTGGCTCAGTCGACGTGATTGTGGTGAATCCACCTTATGTGCCAACACCGGAATATGAAGTTGGAATGGAAGGTATTGCCTCTGCTTGGGCTGGAGGGGAAAATGGCCGGACAGTTATCGATAAAATCTTGCCTGTGGTTGATCTTTTGCTTTCGGAGAAAGGTTGGTTCTACTTAGTGACATTGACTTCAAATTTCCCAGCAGAGATTTGTCTGATGATGAGAAAGAAAGGTTATGCGTCGAGAATCGTGGTTCAGAGATCAACAGAAGAGGAGAATCTCGTTATCCTTAAGTTCTGGAGAGACAAGGATGAGGAGAGTGAGGAGAAGGAGACATCATCATCATCGTTTGTTTCGCAGTTTTCGAAATCTTTATCATCACTTATGGAGAAACAATGGCGTTGATACTGCAAAGCATTCTTTGTTTAACCGAGAACTCTCTAGTGTTTTACTTTTTTTTTTGAAAATCACGTTGTGTTGGTCTAGTGATATGATTTAGTGAGGTTATTGATTAGTGGATTTTAACTGATGTGAAATTTCAAACAAAAATCATACAAGGTCACTGAATACAAAATCATGTCGTACTCATTTAATTAATTTTGTAATTTAATTTCACACTAAAATATAATCCAACTGTTTGATTTTCATCTCAACAATATAATTTGAAAAATCAGTGAAAAGCCTTGTTTGAAAAATCGCTAGGCGCTAGTCGGGCGCTCGGCATGGGCCTAGCGAGTGCTACTTCGGTATCATTGCATCAATCTTATGTTGCAATTGGATATCCCTTTTGGTTGCACGACTTATTTGACTCTGAGAAAGTTTTATTTTCAAAATTGCAGTAAACACATAAAAATGTATTTTTGAGACAAATTTTTATGATTTTTATTACAAATTTATGATTTTTATTAAAATTTGAACATAAATTATTGTAAAACATTACAAACTCTCAATTCTAATGATTGAATAACAAAAATAAAAAGTTTTTTTATACTAGCAATCTAAAAATAATCGGGGTATGTAAGATTAGGCGGGGAATAATCGGATTAGGCGGGGAGTAATCGGATTAGGCGGAGAGTAATCGGGTGACTGATTTCTTTAAGAGATTAGTCATTAATCGAGGCGGATAGGGTGGGCCTAGCGATTAAGCGGGGAGTAATCGGATCTAGGCGGGGATTTTTAGAACAAGGGTGAAAAGTTATAAATTCGACATGGATTAAAAAGTTCATTAATCTTATGACCAATATGAAAGAAAAAAAAGCGTTATAACACCACGATGACGTGGCTGGATAAGAGTGGACGTTCACATCAAATTCCAGCGACAGCCGTCAGCGTAGAGTTTCCGCTTGATTTTCCAAAATTACCCTCGATCTTACAAAGATGGTCAAGGGTAGCATGGGTATCTATATATAGGTATAAAGGGCATAAGGAACCCAAATCCGAGACGCAAGTCGGTGACCTCCTTCTCACAGATCTAAAAACCAGAAGCCAGAGAACAAATTCACTCTCTCCCTTATATAAGCACCAATTTATAAATCTTTTTCCCTCTCCGATTCTCAATTCTTTGTATAAAAAGCTTCTCCTTTTCTCAATTCTTCGGCTTCCTTTCGCCAAATTCTTCCCGCGAATCTTCCCTAATCGTCTTAAAGCTACGAAACCCTAGATTTCGGATTTCCTCGCTATCCAAAGGTCTGATCTTTAATCCTTTCCTGGGTTTAATTTTTCGGATATGATTGTAACTTTTCTTAAGCTCTAGAAGGGTTTCTTACCTTACATAGGAAAAGTGTCGTTGTTTTGGAATCTAAATTGGCTCTATTTTCTCAAATAATTGAAACTTTTGAATGATGAGGCTCTCTTATATGACTTTTAAAGTATATTGTCTTGTGGTCTTGGACTGACCATGTCTTGTCTTAGTCTTGCTTATTTGATGTGTGGATTTTGGTTTTGTGTAATTTTTACAGTAATGGCTGATCAAGGATTGGAAGGGAGTACTCCAGTGGACCTTAGCAAGCATCCTTCAGGGATTGTTCCTACTCTTCAGTGAGTTCTTTTGTGCCGTTGTCTCTTAAGATTTAGTGTTTGTTTGATTCTTGTGGATAATTTATCTTTTATGTTTTGTTTCAGAAACATTGTCTCCACGGTGAACCTAGACTGCAAGCTAGATCTTAAAGCCATAGCTTTGCAGGCTCGGAATGCTGAATATAATCCCAAGGTATTGCATTATACAGTGATATTTTGTCTCCCTGAGTGGATCAGACCTGATTGTTACCTGAGCTCTCGGTTGGTCTATCTACTGTGTACTGATGAATTAGAATCTAAGATAATATCTGGTTGTTGGCTTTTGCAAAACTAATTTGTCATAGCTGAGTTTGTCTAATTTAAATATCTCTTGTATTTTATGTTTCCAGCGTTTTGCTGCTGTTATAATGAGGATCAGAGAACCGAAGACTACAGCATTGATATTCGCCTCAGGGAAAATGGTATAGTTATCTGGGTTGGCAATAATAATCTTTTCATAATTCTGATATTTAATTGCATTGGTTTGAATTCACTTCTGAATTTGGTGACTAATCTCCAATTAGGTCTGTACTGGAGCGAAGAGCGAGTACTTTTCGAAGATGGCTGCCCGAAAGGTAGATTTCATTTTTCTCACCTCGTTTATTTAACTTGCTTCTCCTCTTCTTTACTTTAGCTATAATTACGATATGCGATTTGCTCCTCATTGTGTTATGCTAATAGGAAATGTTTTATTGTTTAGTATGCTAGGATTGTGCAGAAATTGGGATTCTCTGCAAAATTCAAGGTACAATTTCTACCAAACTCTTTTCCCTATCCGACATTATTTTTCGTTAGTTTTGTCTGTACTAAATGTATTCCTCGTTACATCCCGCAGGATTTCAAGATTCAGAATATCGTAGGTTCTTGTGATGTCAAATTCCCTATAAGACTTGAAGGTCTTGCTTACTCTCACGCTGCTTTCTCAAGTGTGAGTGATCTGAACTCTTGAAACATTTATCCTTCTTATGTTGAACTTCAATACACATACAGTTAGAGTTAAGGACCAAATTTTAGAGATAAAAACCTTGTGCTGATGGCCATTCTCTCTCTCATATTGGTGTATGGCCAGTATGAGCCCGAGCTCTTCCCAGGGCTGATTTATAGGATGAAAGTGCCTAAAATCGTCCTTCTAATCTTTGTCTCTGGGAAGATCGTTATAACGGGAGCCAAGGTAATATCTCACTTTCTCTTTATGTTTTGTGATAATCGAACGAAAAATTCTTGCTTTGTCTCTCTCTAGTCTCTAGCTCTTCTGCCACCTGATAAAAATCCTGAGATCACTTATTATCAGATGAGAGAGGAGACTTACAGAGCCTTTGAGAATATATACCCCGTGCTCACGGAATTCAGAAAGATACAGCAATAGTATGTAACACACCCTTCAACTTTCCTCATCTTTCTTAGTAATGGTTGCTTTTTCGATTTATACTTTCATGAACCTAATTGTTGTGTTTATCTTTAATAGGGTCAAGGATTTGTTCCCTGCAGAACTAGTTGTGCTGTCTTAGCCCCTTGGAGTTGCTAAAGCTTGCTGAGAATTTTGCCCTTGAACAAGGGCTTTCACAGTAGCTAGACTCTCACCTTGTGTTTTGGTTCATAATATAACATTGTATATACACAATGGAGATTCCAAAGACAATTCTTTGGTTCTTTTTCTCTTTTCCAAGATATGTCTTACATGTACGATTTTGTAGTATCCTTAGAGCATGATTAACAATAGTATCTTAAAAATAGTTCTTAGAAGTATTAAAGTAATAATATGACATGTGGTTGGTTCTTAAGATTAGTTTTGGATCTTAGCTAAGCCACTTTTTTTAGTTTTGGATCTTAGCTAAGCCACATTTTTTACTTAAGAACTCTTTAAGATACCCTTGTTAATGGTGGTCTTACACTTCCTCGTATGTTAAAAGTCTTGTTTAGCATAGATTAGCCAATTAGCCAAGATTATGAACAAAGATGGAGAGTTTCAAGATCATAAGATTAAATTACCAAAAGTGATGATTACAGATTCATTACATGTATGAACCACTAACATCAATCACTATTTCGAAGATAGGAGACTGAGAATCAGAGAATGTGTACAATGCTCTAGTTCATTAGTTTACTATGAAAGATATTAGCGAAAAGATGGGCTAGTAATTCACAATTGATTTGATTGCATCCAATATCTGCATCAAATTGTGAGCCATGGAAGAATTAGCAACAAAAACGATAATAGATGAGGTAAAGAAAGACCAGAGACAAAACTTGCCTTGTTCTTGGTTGGCATGTAGAAAGGTTCGAACACTAGAGGGAAAGGAGTGTCCAGGCCACAAACTCTGCTTACAGGTGCTTCTAACTGCCAAAGCAACCAGACATTCAAGAAAAGATGAAAAACAGACTTTGTTACAAAAAAAGAATTATATGTTGTAGATAAATATGACTTGTTTTTACCCTTAAGAAGCAACGCTCAACTATAGTTGCAGCGATCTCTGCCCCAAAGCCTCCTGTAACAGGAGCTTCATGGCTAATCTGCAACCGAACCAAGCAAACACATTTATTCTCTGAGAGTTAGGACAATGCTGCTCACGCGAAGAAGCTTAACGTACAAGAAGTCTGCCAGTCTTTCTCACTGAGGTCTCAACGATTTCCTTATCCCAAGGGATCAGAGTCTTGAGATCTATCAATTCACACGATATGCCTTCCTGCAAAAACATTGTGTTTCAATCATCTGATTCACCAAAGACTTATCAAGTGCAAAACATTAAAAAAAAAAAAACTAACGGTTTCTGCGTCAAGACATGCTTGTTCCATGATAGTGAGCTGTGCTCCCCATCCAACAAGCGTTATGTCAGAACCTTCTCGTATAACCTGTGACCAAAAGTATTGTCTTGTTAGTCTTAGAAGTGTAAGATTCGGCATCTCCTAAGAAGAGAAACTGGAAATGGAACCTATATACCTCTGCCTCAGATAAAGGTATCATATAGTCATCCTCAGGGACATCCTCTACCGCTTGACGATATAGCCACTGAAGAAGAACAACAAAGGATCAAAGACTCTTAACCGGTTATTGAAATCGAATATAACTCACAAGAAGTAGTACCTTTGGTTCGAAAAAGACAACGGGATTCGGATCACGGATGGATGACAATAATAATCCCTTAGCTTCCCGTGGACTTCGAGGAATAACAACCTAGCCAAAACATGTATTGTCATATACACCTAAGATATGAAGCAAATAGAGAAAGAAGAAGATTTAGTAAGAAGATGTACTTTGATACCAGGGACATGACAGAAGAAAGCTTCAGGGGACTGCGAGTGGTAATGTCCACCGTGACCAACGGCTCCATAAGGTGCTCTAATTGTAAGTCCTACAAGTTCCACATAAACCACCCCAATGAGTAAAAAATTGGTGTCTCAAAAGCAAGAAGACACTAGAAGATATGACTTACCTCCACAGTTAAACTGGTTTCCACTTCGGTATCTGAACTTTGCAGCCTCATTAACAATCTAAGAAATCACAAAAACTCCATAAAGAGAACTCAAGTGTCATAAACTTGGTTCAAAGGTAAAGGTAACATTTTTACCTGATCAAAAGCAGGGAAGATATAATCCGCAAACTGAATTTCCGCAATGACTCGATTTCCCTGTAAGAGAATAAGTAAGCAGTAAGCTGATGTGATAGCGATGAGAGGTAAAGAGAAGAACAAAAGAAGAAGAAGTGACCATAGCAGCTAAACCAATGCCAAAGCCAACAATGCCTTGCTCGCAGAGAGGAGTGTTGAAAACTCGAGATTTCCCAAAACGTTCAGCTAATCCGGTTGTACATCGGAACACACCACCAAAACCAACATCTTCCCCAAACACATAAGACCTTCACTCAATTGACTCCAAATTCATTATATAACAAAATTCAAAGGAACATGGATTTTAGGATTAAAACACAAGAAAATCTCACCGAGGATCGGTCTCTAAAGCGATGTGAAGAGCTTGATTAATAGCAGAGTACAAATTCATCGATTTACCACTTTCAGATACATTTTCAATCGTCGAGAGCATCCTATATCCATGACCAGAGACCGGAAAATACGATCGCCGGCAGAATCTGCGTACAAGAGCTGCCATTTACGCGAAAGTTATTTTCTTCAGGAAAGAATCACCCAACCCACTCCCTAACAAATTTGATACTTTTTGGCTGAAACAAAACAGGCATGAAAGTACTACTATCTTTTGATGTCTCAATTTTGATCACGGAGTTTCCGAGATAAAGCGTTGGAGAAGCTATCTAGCCACGTCAGATCAGACAACAAGTACTTATTTTGATCAGCTTCATTAATTGTTTTACCACATCAGCAATTTTTGGCTTCATAGATCAAAACTCAAAACGACCGACATTGAAATGAAGAGTGCCGACTAAAGTTAGGTTCTCGTCATCTTTGACAATTATTGGTGTGGTGACAAGTGACAACAACTTGATTATGAGATCAAAACCGGTTTGTTTAGTTACCCAAAAAATCAACAATACTTATCTCCTTATTTTGAAAATCTTAAACATGGATTGATTCAGATAAGTTTGGAGAATGACACAAACAAAAACAGGACAGAGAGAGGCAAAAGACCATCTTAGATTCTAAAGGACTCAACAGAGTCAAGTCTGAAACCAAAACAAGAAACAAATGAAAGGAAAACTGAAAAAACTCTGCCTATAAATCCAACAGAAATTGAAAAACAAAATCCCACCCTGCTTTTATCTCCTTTTCTCTAATTCTTCCCACTAATTTCTTACAGGGTAGAATCAACAGAAAATGAAACTTGAAAAGAAAAAAATAAACCAAAATAAACTTGTAACGACACTGCGATTTTAAAGAAAAGGAAAAATGAAAACAAGAAATGATTGAAAAAAAAATAGCTGGGATTTAAAACTTCTAAGGGCAAAGAAACGGATCCGTCTCAGGTACTAAAGCTCCTTCCATGCTTCAAGGCTCACGGCTGTCTTCTTCTCAAGAGAAACTGTAAACAGGATTGTTCATATCTTCGTCTCTTGTCCGTTTTATGCTCATGCCGTGAGCGACCCATCCTCTAAGCTAGCAACCATTTGCCACCACATCGCCTGTAACTGGTTTAGCAACCGACCCATTCTCAGCAACCTTGACATCACTGGAAGTTTGAACAGCTGAAGGAGATTCCTTGCTCGCTGAATCCGCAGTTGCAGATTCTTTTTTTTCATCGGTCATCTTCTCTTCGCTGACCTGTTAAGATATAATGCATTAGAAACACTCAAGTTATATATACATACTGAATGAAACGATTTCTGAATTTTTTTTTCTAGTTCTTGCCTGTTTCTGTGTTTGCTTGGCTTTCTTCTCCAAGATAGTCTTCTGTCGAACCTCGTAGAATGAGAAATCATCCAAAATGCAAGTCTTACTGCTATGCTCCTTGAAAATTTTCACAATCTTCAGTCCTTGTTCCAACTTAACCTAACATGATCCAAAAAGAAAACTTAGGCACAAAAAACAAAAACACTCAGGGGAAAATCAGTAAAACCAGCCTACAAGATATGTCAACAATATCTACCTCTTGTGTGTCTCTGCTGTTGGTAACAGGTTTGTTCTCATTGTTCTCAAGGGTAATATGTTTCAGCAAACTGTTTGGAACATCCTTCACAATATGCCACTTGAGGGGGAAAGAGCCAGTCCACTTATCTTGCTGCCAGTACTCCACATTTGTGTTGAAATCAACTGGTCCTGTCATTTCAGCAAGACCAACAAATTGTCCACTTGCATTGACCTGAAAGACAAAAATTGGAGTATAAAGAACAATATCATAAAGCAAAGTTAAAAGAGCACAGCTTTTAGTTTCAGGATTATATACACACCGAGAAAAAGAGAAAGATGGGACAGCCCCCAGCTTTCTGCTGAGCTTCCTGGTATGCTGCAGCAAGCTTCTTGTTTCCATTTGGTGTGCTAGCCCAAACATTATATTTAATGCTCTTATGCACATCATCTTCACTGTACGACTTGATGATAAAGAACATGGCATTTGCATAATCCACGGGGAAATCTTCTTTATTGTACTGTTCTCTGTCAGGAACAACACATGTGTTATCCGCCTCCCCAACCTCGGTTACATTTGATTCTCCAGTCTGCTCCTTAACCTCTAAGCTATCTTCTAGATTTCCCTTCTGGTTCTTTGTGCCTTTAGCTCTAGGTCCCCTGTTAAGTTCATTCAAACCATCTACATTGTTCTCATTTCCGTAATAGTAACTGTTACCCCTTCCCCAGCTTCTGTATTTGTTGTCTGTGGCCACCCATCCTCTTCCATTGGTTCTTGAATCATACCCAGAAGAACCATAACCCAAAGCAGATCTCCCTGTACTACCATACTGACCATACAACTTGTTTTGATACATCCTGTTGTAGTATCCCTGAGCTGTACCATAGCCCGTCACTGATGCAGGCTGGTGCATACTCTGCAAAGAAAAAAAATTGATTGAGGTCAGTTGACAATATTGGAAAATTTGAGCGACAATGTATATGCCAATAAAGCAGAAAATCGTGTTCATTAGCAAAAAGAAGCATAGAAAGACACCATACCGTGTAATGAGAATTAGAGCGGTAGTTTTGATTCCTTGATGAAGGTACAGTGCTAGACTTAGAATAGGAGGATGCAACTCCACTACCAGAAACAGGTCTCTGCACATCTGAGTACTTAGAGCCATCATGCCACGGCACAGGAGCATAATACCCATCATAGCCATACCTAGGCTCCTGATAACCAGCAGCGAAACCACCTCCTGGAGCACCAATACCATACAAATTACTTGAGGTGTTAAGTGTAGTCTGGTTAGTTGGTTTCACTGGAGCTGATCCATTGCTTCCTTTTGTGATACCAGTAGCAGAAGCAACATTATTGCTATCCGCAGTTAGTGTCTTCACACCAGCAGCTTTGTTTGCAGAGAGATCCGCCTGGTTAGGAGTAGCCACAGATGAAGCATACGGTCCACTGTTTGGAAAATAGCTAGGATACTGATACTGCTGAGCACCATACAACTGCCCTTCCCCGCCAAGCTGTGGAGCAGGGCTTGTCGCTGGCGAGTAAGGATATGTTGCATACCCATAACCCTGAGGATACACAACAGTTCCATTCTCTCCATAAATTCCCTGTAAAAATATTGAACCTGTTAAGCAGAGAAAGAAAATGTAAAGAAGATGAAAGGCACCATGAGAACTAACTAGTCAGCACACACTTACAGAATTCATGTCAACACCCTCAGGATTGGTGTAAGCTGCGTAGTCAGTCCAATCTTGACCACTCCCATATGCTGGAAAGTTACAAAGCGAGAAACTTGTTAATCATTGGTGACAATATAGTGAAATAATGTTTCTAGATTGTAGATGATTTGAGGATGAAGCTACCATTGTAATACTGGTAGGGATTGTAGGGAGTAGGAACATAGCAAACTGAAGGGTCAGCGGCATCACTGGGAATCATTGGTGTCAAAGATCGATCATAAGAAGGAACTTGACCATGAACATCCACGCCTCCATATTGATAGACGGCAGTCTGCACAAGACACATAACAAAAGAACTGTTCTTGTTAAAAAAAAGTGGAAGAAGCAAAAGTTGCGAGCAACAGAAAACCAAAATTAAATCTGCAAATCACCTTCTTGTTAGGCTCAGGGATCTCTGAAGCTTTTGCTTGCGAGTCCAAGGATAGTTTCTGCAACAGATCTGCAGCTTCTACAAACAGGTGAGTCAAGGAAGCAAAGACCTTTGTGTGCGAACGTAGAATTAACCATTAGAACAGTGGAAAGCACAAATCTTTAACCCAGAAAATTTATCAAATCAATCATACCCGCCACAAAAGAATCGATTTTAATCAATATAGAAACCTAACAATCGAGAAATATATTGAGAAACCCGAAACTAAATCTAGGTGATATCAAATAAATCTGAAGAAAACTCAATCACGTCACTCACTGGATTCAAGATCCAACAGAAACAAAGCGAGAAAAGAAGAGATCGAGAAATAAAAAACACAGATCGAGAAACATAAAGAAAGGATACGATCAGCAGGAGGAGCAACGGTAGCCATGAGACGAGATTCGACAAACAAAGATTGGATAGATCCTTCTCGGATAAAAGGGGATGCGACCAAAAAGAAAGATAGGGAGAAGAAGAAGTAAAAAAAAAAGAAGATAGTGAAACCCTAAACGGAATCAGGAAAAACCCAGATCGAATCTAGGGTTTAAGAGATAGAAGAGAGAAGAAGAAGAAGAAGAAGAAGAAGAAGAAAATGGCCGCAGCCGCCAAGAAGGAGAAGAAAGGGTTTTGCTTCGGGGAAGAGGAAAAAAAGGGTTTTGTCTCTCTGCCTCTCCCTCTGATTCAAATAGATCCACGAATCAACCACCTCACCTCTCTCTTTTTTTCTTTTATTTTATTTCTTCCACCTTAAGATATTTCCTCTTTTGTTATAAAGACTATTATAGACCGTGTGGTTTTGGTTAATTTTCCACGAAAATATCTATTCAGGATGATATATTTTTCCATTTTTAAAAAATTTGGTAATCTTGTAATAAAATAGATAAAAATCTTACCAAAATGTAATTCAAAAGTAAAATTGGTCAAATTTAAAAGCAAATATTCAACTTTTTGTTTTGAGCATTTAAAACCTAAAAGTAAATCATTAAGATAAAAAGGTTAAATATTTTTTTTAGAGGAACTTACCAAGAACAGCTACTGAACAAATAATAGTAATATACTTTACCTTAAAGGAAGAAGAAAAATACTTACCTCAGCTTAAAAAAAAACAATAATTATAACCCAGAGTATTTAATGGGCCTATTTGATCAAGAATTTATAAACAGGCCCTAATGACCAAACAAGGCCGAACCAGAACTCGACCCGGATATAAACCCAGGATCCGGTAACCCATCCGACGTTCTAGAGTGTTCTAATGAGAAAACAATGCAGGAGTACATCCAACGGTTAAGATTAGCTCGAAGTTTCAAGAGCTAATAAGGCCTCATTTCGCCTTTATATTCAGAAAAAAAATAATCAGAAGCAACTAGTAGCAATTTCCTCAGTGGAGAAACCAGTAGATAAATATAAAACCTACTTCTTCTTCCTTATCCGGATTAAACCTCTCCGGCGCCATCCTCTCCGCTTCTCCGTCGTTCCGCCGTCCGGTGAGTGCCACTTTTCCATTAACTATTAGCTGAGAAAATAGTATCTTACCTCGTTTTCGTGTTCCCGGAGATTTTGGGTTCTTAGTTTAATTGTAGCTTTTGAGTATTTTGAAATTGCGTCCTCTTTTTCATCTGTGTTTATTTGATTTTGTTGCCGGTTTTAATTGGTTAGTAACGTTTGGTGAATCTTTCGTTGTAAATGTTTATGTGACTGTTGGATTGATTTTTCAGTGTGACTAGTGAAAAATGGCATCGACATTCACTGCCACGTCTTCCCTTGGTTCCTTGCTTGCTCCCAATGCTATCAAGTTGTCTTCTTCAAGCTCCTTTGGAAGGAGACATAATGTGTGCCTAAGAAGATCCCGTCCTGCCATTGTATGTGCAGCCAAGGAGTTGCATTTCAACAAGGATGGCACTACCATTAGGAAACTTCAAGTGAGAATTAATGAAATTGTTTCTCCGCAGTAGAAGTGAATAGGATTTGTTTCTTTCTGTTTACTGATTACTCCTTTGTTATTAGACTGGTGTTAACAAGCTCGCGGACCTTGTTGGTGTCACACTTGGACCAAAAGGGAGAAATGTTGTCCTTGAGAGCAAATATGGATCCCCAAGGATTGTTAATGATGGTGTTACTGTTGCTAGGGAGGTATGAATTTATTTTCTGTTTGGCATTTCTGGTTTCGTTTAAGTACTTCTGCAAGCTCAAGTTTTTCTTCTGCTTAGGTCGAGTTGGAGGACCCTGTTGAGAACATTGGTGCAAAGCTTGTAAGGCAAGCAGCTGCAAAGACCAATGACTTGGCTGGTGACGGTACAACAACTTCTGTTGTTCTTGCTCAAGGTTTTATTGCCGAGGGTGTCAAGGTTGGTACATTCTTCTTTCAGCTTTCTCTGATGAAAACTCAAAAGAACAGTACACTAGTCTTAAATTTGGATATTTTAGGTGGTGGCTGCAGGTGCAAACCCTGTATTGATCACTAGGGGCATTGAGAAGACAGCTAAGGCTTTGGTTAACGAGCTGAAACTAATGTCTAAGGAGGTAAGTAACTAGTTTGCTAAAACCTCCTCCTTATTAATGTTTCTAAATTTTATAGCAAGAGGGTCTAATGGTTATGTCATTGGAACTATAGGTTGAAGACAGTGAACTCGCTGATGTGGCTGCTGTTAGTGCGGGTAATAACCATGAAGTTGGAAGTATGATTGCTGAAGCAATGAGCAAAGTGGGGAGGAAGGGTGTGGTGACCCTTGAGGAGGGTAAAAGCGCTGAGAACAACCTGTACGTTGTGGAAGGAATGCAATTTGACCGTGGTTATATCTCCCCATACTTTGTGACAGATAGTGAGAAAATGTCTGTCGAGTACGACAATTGCAAGGTACATTTTCTTGGTTCGGAGCCACCAATAAGATACTGTTGCAGATAGCCTGACAAGTTTTTTACTTTGCAGTTACTTCTTGTTGACAAAAAAATTACCAATGCAAGAGATCTTGTTGGTGTTCTCGAGGATGCCATTAGAGGCGGATACCCAATCCTAATAATTGCAGAAGATATTGAACAAGAAGCCTTAGCTACTCTTGTTGTTAACAAGCTTAGAGGCACATTGAAGATTGCAGCTCTCAAAGCTCCTGGATTTGGAGAGCGCAAGAGCCAATACCTTGACGATATCGCCATTCTAACTGGAGGTAGGTCATGATTTTTTTATAACACAAACCTATATGTGGGTATCAATCAATGTGCCCTCCTGATTTTGAATCATTTTGTTGTTAAAATCTTGTCGTGTTGATTTTGTTTGTGTGTGCAGGAACTGTGATTAGAGAGGAAGTTGGTCTGTCTCTTGACAAAGCTGGAAAAGAGGTTCTGGGTAACGCTTCTAAGGTTGTCCTGACAAAGGAAATGACAACAATTGTGGGTGATGGTACCACACAGGAAGCAGTAAACAAGCGTGTTGTACAGATTAGGAATCTTATTGAGGTATATGTTTGAGTCAAACCGCATAAGAGTCAGTTTTAGCTACTTTTTTGATAAAGCTTGTTTTATGCTAACACAACTGTGGTTTTGCAGCAAGCGGAGCAAGATTACGAGAAGGAGAAATTAAATGAGAGAATCGCGAAACTCTCTGGTGGAGTTGCTGTAATTCAGGTAAATAGTAATCACAGGGGCTTTCTTGGGTTTGTATGACAGAAGAATAAGTTAAGTGGTACTAATTAACGTTCTTACATCTTGGTTAAAGGTTGGAGCTCAAACTGAGACAGAGCTCAAAGAAAAGAAGCTGAGAGTGGAAGATGCGCTTAATGCTACAAAGGTGATTTTCTTTATCCAGCTGATGGGGTTATAGAGGAGTGTATGTATATCTTAATTATATGACCTCATTGAGTTTCAGGCTGCTGTTGAGGAAGGTATTGTCGTTGGTGGTGGTTGCACTCTACTTCGGCTTGCATCCAAGGTCGATGCCATCAAGGATACCCTTGAAAATGATGAAGAAAAGGTAATTGGCAAAATCAAGACTTTTGGAGATTTTTGCAAATTGCTTTGCTCTTACTGCATTTTTCAACTATTTCCCGTCTGTAGGTTGGAGCGGAAATTGTTAAAAGAGCACTGAGTTACCCTCTGAAATTGATAGCTAAGAATGCTGGTGTCAATGGAAGTGTTGTCAGCGAGAAGGTTATAACACAACATAAAAACCTCCATGCTTATTCAGCTCTTGATTTATGTAAGTTGCTTAAAAAGCTGTTTTTATTCATTGCAGGTGCTAGCTAACGATAATGTGAAATTTGGATACAATGCTGCAACCGGCAAGTATGAAGATCTGATGGCTGCAGGCATCATCGACCCAACAAAGGTCAGTTTCTTACATACATTCCCTCACTCTATTTTGCTATCCCATCTGTTTACAAAAGATCCAATGAACGTGAGTGGATTTTTTTATTCAGGTTGTGAGATGTTGCTTGGAACATGCAGCCTCAGTTGCAAAGACGTTCTTGATGTCTGACTGTGTGGTTGTTGAGATCCCGGAGCCAGAGCCAGTTCCTGCCGGCAACCCAATGGACAACTCAGGTTAGTCCAGACATTCTGATTCATGAAAACTGGACAGTGACATCAAAACAAAACATGTTTCTTCATCACTGAATCTCTCGACTGTCTTGTTTCAGGATATGGATACTAAGATAGACTGACCGGGTTTGCTCGTAAAGCTGAGAGATAGGCAAAAATTCCGAAGCGAGAGTAGCTCACTGGGATACGGATTCCTGTAGCTTGCAAACAAATTTATGTGCAAGTGTAATGATTTTTGAACCAGAGAAGAATGTGTTCATTTAGAAATAATAATATTTGAATTCGTTTTGAATAAATTGTCAGTGATCTTTAAAATCTTCAGTGTTCTTAATAGCACCATCTTATATATATGCTAAAGCTGTGGGAACTTGGATATAATGCACAAAGTGACTTCAAATTTAAAAGCTTCTTGAATCTGAATAAGAAAGAACTTCATTAACTGGTTAAAGTAACAAGTGTAATATAAAGCAATCCTTTTAACAATTCTAAAACCGTAAACACTGAATCGACAATCGTCATATAACCTCAGGTGAGCAAATGTAGATTCTTCTATATGTACCTCAATGTAGATGGATTCTAAATCCAAAGCCACAAGCTGAACAGAGGCAATCCTCAAGCAAGCTTCTTCACCTTGCACCATTGCCATATCTTCGGGTAAAACTAAGCCGCATTGATCACAGAATAACACAAACACAGCTTTGATCGCCATCATATCTGACATCATCTTCTTCACTGCAAATACAACAAGGATTCAGACAAATGCCAAGCAACTAATTACCAAGAACAAACATTAGAGAAAGGTTTACAACTTGGATTGATCAAAGATTTCATATCAAGAAACCAAAGAGACTGCAACAATTGTCACCAGGTTCACCAATTGAAAGACGAAAAAGCGATAGAAGACAGTACCTAGACTCGAATTCTCGGATCTCAGCAAGTTCTTTACCCATCAAATCCACCCACTGTACCTTCTTCTGCTCCTTTCTCCCACCATCTGCTGAATCTAAAACCTCCTTTTTGAGACTGCTTTTCAAGATTTTCCCATTACTAAGACTTCTTTCCTCTTCTTCCTTTTTTTCCTTTAGAGCACAATCTTCTTCTCTAACAACCTCAGTCAGCAAACCATCAACATGATCAACAACAACTTCTTCTTCTTCTTCTACATGAGCATCATCATCATCATCATGATCATCAACAACCGTAGTCGAAGAAGACACTTGAGGAGGGGTGTTCGCCAATTTGAGAGAACCAGATGAGTAGATATGAGGAGAAGGCTTACAGAAACAGATGAAAGAAGGGCACTGGATCTTACACAGCAAAACCCTCATCAAAACATATGTTGGGTCTTTAAAACACCCGATCATCAAATTCCAAACTTTCCCTCTTTTTGTCTTAACAAAGTTACAACCTTTTCGTTCCCATTGATATGCCCAGATTGGAAAAAAAAGAAACTTGGAGCAACAAAAGAAGAGTTCGATTTCTGAAACAAACAAAAGAGCAACAAAGGGTTTTCGAGGAAGAGTTAATAACCACAATATATAATATCACACTTGGATAGAATCCAAAGACCATAAATTAAGCGTTGATCAGATGAGGAAGCAGACAAAAGTACAGGGACCACGCAATGCTAATTATACTAATTGAGAAAGAACAGATTCCACAATTGAGAACAATCAGCCATGGCCATAAAAGATAAAAAGAAATTGAGAAAAAAGGCATTTACTTTTATGAATGTTGTGTTGTGTGAGAGACAAAGAGTGACTGACCAAGTTTTTAAGAATTTATAAAGCTTTTGCTTTTTTCTCTGAGAAGAAGATAAAGTAGCTAGTCCTCGAATTTTGCTTTTTCAGTGCCTGCCTCTAAAGGTGAAGTCTTTTTTTTTAACTAATTAGGTAACTGTTCCCTCGCTTAATCTTATATATTGGATTCTGTTTGTTGTTCGGATATCAAATTTTTTTATTTTCTTATATTTTTTATCTGTTAGATAATTATTGAGAAGAATATAATCTTTTTTTTGGTTATCATTATGATTAACTCTGTTTTAGAAAATATATATTTTGTTATATACTACTTTGATTTTTTTTTTTTTAGTTCATTACTGTAACTAAATTGTAAATTTTCTAGTTTTTTAAAGTTCATTTGTTAATTTCTTTAACAAATTCTGATTATACACTAAAAGCTTTACTTTTATGTCTACCACTAACACATGTTTCCAAGTTTAAACTCGGTTATGATATACTTCGACCAAAGTACAAACCATTAACCTACAAATTTAGTTCGAAAATCATCTAATTATAGGATTAAACTACCTTTTATTTAGAAATATGCATTGTGTATAGAGAACATATATGTATGAGTATGAGCAATACTCTTGCAAATCTTAATATTTAATTGGATAACTCAAGGTAAATCTAAATGATTAATGTTAATGGAATAAGTCACACGAAGTTTCCACGTGAAGGAAAATATTTATCAAAAATTAATAGTTTCTATATATTTTGTACAGTTGACAAATCCAGATATGATCTAATACTGACATACTGTATATTTTCTTTTATGTTTGATGTATCTATTAGATCCACCAAGTTTCTGCAAATCTCAAATGCATATACACATAGGTATGTAAATGCATATAATGCGTGTGCCAATAATGATGCCACATAGGATGCTTCTGAGTTCTGACATAAATATTTCGAGATCAATCAAACTCAAAAGACATACACCTTGTCTCACACATGTGTGAGATTTGCTTATTATTGTGTATGCATCGTCAATCATTTAGAATTTGGTCGGATACATTCCACAAGTTACCTCATCGACATCTAAAGCTGAAACCCACAAACATTATTTCCAGTCCAAAAAAAAAAGACTATTAAGTCTTTTGTACATATAAGAAAATGTTTAAAGTTTCTAAAATCTGTCGTTAGCTTGTCCTTTTCCAACCTTAAAGAAAAAAAAAAACAAATATCATAGTATAATTTTCTTAAACAACATTCGAAGCATTTAAGGGAAAGTAATGCTTTATAGTTCTTTTTGTTGTTAGCTTTGTCCCTAACCTAAACAACAGGAGATCAAGTTGTGTCGCCCACAGAATCAATTAGAAAATCAGCAAAAGTTAGAGAGAGGAGGAGAGCGTGAAGCTTCTTATTTTTTTTACAAGAAAACTGAATCAGTGTTAGTTTCTTCAGTACCTTGAACATGTGGTGGTGTGGCTAATACATATGTCTACATGCTTGAAACATCCTAGATCCGAGACTTAACTGCAAACGGTGATTGCATTTGAACTATCCTTTAGGATCGATCTTCGTCTATTGCTATTTTCCCCAAAGAATTGAATCATAAGTTCATAACCAAACATGAAGAAAAAAGTACCTCTGATTAGGATTAATTATTAGGGTCATAATTAGACCCAAAAGCCACATGCCGAATGGGATAAAATGGAATGATCCAACTTTATTTGTGGTAGTAGTATAGAATCTCTATCTGTATCTGGTTCTGTCTGTGTTAGGCACTCATCAAGAATAAAATAATGTTTTCTTGTTTTGCTGTCTAACTACGTCTGTTACACATCCTACTCCAACTTCCTGCTGGAGAAATCACCAATAAAGAAAGATACACAAGAATGCTATAAAAGCTACAACATGCATTACCACTTTCGGCATGATTAAGAGTTACTGCTGAACTTTCAGAACAGGAAAAGCAATCACGTCTCTTATACTCGCGGAGTTTGTCAACAGCATCACCAGCCTGTCAATTCCAAGCCCCTAAGAGAAACAATGACAGTAAACCAATATAAGTACTTGAGCATAGTCCGGTCATGTTATAGACTTGAGTGTGCAAAAATTAACTAATTTTTATAGAAAGCAATGACGTCTCTTATAATGACAGTTAATGTTATACTCTTTACTCTAATTGTATAGAAGAAAGAAAATAGACAGACACAAGTACCATTCCCGAAGCCGGAGGCATTCCATATTCCAGGGCAGTGAGAAAGTCTTCGTCAAGGGTCACCTCGTATGACTCATCATCATCATCATCTTTCTTTGCGTTTGGTTCAGCATATTCCGATGCAGCCTCCGCTCTCTTTGCGTTATGCTGCCTTACTTGCTCTTCCAACCGCGTCCTCTACCATATTTTAAACAAATCACTAATGTTTTATAATCCAGTGTACACAAAGAGCACTAAGAAGCAGGTCGTTCACTATGTAGAATGTTATTTAAGAAGACACAAAATTGCAGGAATAATGAAGGTTTCATTATCCCATTACCTGGTCCACGGGATCAGTCAATTCAGAGAATGCGTTTGCCATTTCACGGCCACAGATAAACAGCTCAAATCTTTCAGTCAAAGCTGCATTGCTGTTGCAGAAAATTTTAAAAAAACGCTATTTACATTTGGAAAAGTTTTCATAACATAAGATGTATGATCAAGAAGATGGTGACAGTATTGGGGGAAAAGGTAAAAATCGAGTCAATGCTAGGAAACAGAGTTCTAGATACAACTTTACCTGCGATGTGGCTTGGCCAAAGGAGAGATTTCGACTGGGTAGTCCAAGACAAATGTGGGCTGCACAAGCTTTGGCTCTACAACAACTTCGAAAACCTGAAAATGTGAATTATTTGAGCACATAAATTCACCGATATGATAATAAAGTGTCAACCAAAGAAGCTTCACCTCATTAAGAAGATGGCCTAGGGAAGAGCAAGCTCCAATTCCAGATTTGTCCTTGGGCTCAAGCACGTCTTGGAGTGCCAGCAGAACTGTGTCTTTGGCATTTCCGAGATCTTCCCCCAGCTCACTGAAATTGATTCCTGTTATCTCTTTAACGAGATTATGCATGGTTTCTCTTCTCCAAGGCCGCTCAAGGCAGATCTCTGTTCCCTGCACAGAGCAATCACAACTCAATCTCTCAAAATTTCACAACCAACATAGAATTCAGATAAGTTTATCTCTACACACTAGCTGTGATGCCAGAGCATATTCACCTGGTAATCAATTGTTAGCTTCCCATTAACTGCCATTGAACATTGAGTGACGATTAGTTCTGCCATGTCCATCATGCTCTGGTAGTCCGAATAAGCTTCATACATCTAAAAAATGATAAAACTGTTACAGATCAGGGAACCATTAAAGAGTATGGAAGCCCAAGTGATGCAGATGATTGAGGAGAGGCATATCTTGAACTACCTCGATGGTCGTGAATTCAGGATTGTGACGTGTTGAAATGCCTTCGTTTCTAAATATACGACCAATTTCATACACTTTCTCAAACCCACCAACCTGTGATAACAAATTGAATTCTATTCAGAGAAAAACATTTACCTTTCAATACACATATAAGGTAGAGGTAATTTCAAAGCCAAAAGAAAGATAAGAAGAACGGCAAAAACTTCAAGAGATTATGAAAATAGAAGATGATTCTCACCAGCATTCTCTTCAAGTGAAGCTCAGTTGCAATCCTCAGGTAGAGATCCCTCCCAAGTGAGTTATGAAACGTTACAAAAGGTCTTGCTTCAGCTCCACCAGCTGCTCCCTAGTTTTCACAAGTTCATGAAACCGACTCCCATAGAAGACTTCAATATTAAGTGGCTGTTTGAGAATGAAGGTGGCCACAAACCTGAAGAACTGGAGTTTCAACCTCCAAATATCCAAAAGACTCAACTGTCTTGCGTATCTCTGAAACGATCTACTACAACAAAACAGAAGAAAAGCATTGTTGATTTGTGAATCAAAAATAACTCTCACAATCTTATATAAGTGTCACTGAAAGATATAACTCTAACTCTAACAAGCATTTTGTTTAGGGATCATGCACATAAGAAACAAAATGCTCAAATGGGAGTTTGAAGTTTTGATAACCTACCTTTGCCCTTCTCCGGAACACATCAGCCACTTCAGGATTAGCAATCATATCAACATACCTGGTAAGAACCACAGTAAGTGGAACACAAATGAAACTTAGGAGCTTTCTTTAAGAATTAGAACCGCAGCTTTACATAGACAGAAGACAGCTCACCGTTGGCGGTAACGTTTATCAATATCAGTTAGACCATGATATTTGTCTGGCAGTGGAAGGAGAGACTTTGTGAGAATTGAAAAAGAATTCACACATATAGAAAGCTCCCCTGGAAAGTTCAGAGACCAAACAGTAAGTAAACAAACCCAAAATAAATGCTTCTTCATCGAGTTTAATCATCTTATTCAAGTTCACCTTTCTCAGTCCTCTTCATCGAGCCACTAGCACCCAAAATATCACCAATGTCGATGAATTGTTTCAACTGTTCAAACTGATCATCTGAAAGCCTCCCCTTCTCACAGTAAAGCTGCAAAGATCAGGAGATGAAAACAGAAAGGGAAAATAAACAATTTTTCGATAAGGAAATGTCACAGCCAGCTACTACTGAAGTGAAATCAAAGCCATCAAATGATCTAAACAATAGAATAAGATTGATACCTGAATAGTTCCAGAGTCATCCCTGAGAGTCAAGAATGCAAGTTTCCCAAAGGCTCTACGAGCAACGACTCTACCAGCTATAGAAACACGATCAATCTCATTGTCTGATTCTTCACCATTAGCTAAATGCTTATAAATCTCTTGAAGCTGATTTGCACTGTGAGTTTTTTCCCACTTATAAGCATAAGGCTCAAGACCTTGACCTCTCAATTCTTCAACCTATGAACCAAAAACATTGATCAGCACCCAATTCCAAGCTCACATATTTGAAAGTAAAAATCAAACCTTTTTAAGGCGAATGGAGCGGATAGCTTCACGATCAGAGGTGGAATTTGAAGATGACGCAGACCGGCGGTTGCGACCGGATGGTTTGGAAGTTTCAGCCGTCGTGGCATTGGAAGAAGAAGAAGAAGAAGCTGCGGAGGCACATCGGAGCGCAGGTGATGAGTGGTAGGATCTTCTTCCATATATTGTGGTGGCGAGACGTGTAGAAGAAGAAGATAAACGGAGTAATTGTTTCAGTGGCGTGGCCGTTAGACTCCATACCTTAAGTGCCTCCATCTCTATCTCCCTGTTTTCTCGAGTCGTGCTTGCTGTGGATAGGTGGAAGAAGAAGAACGCAAGTGGGTTTTGGGCTTTGTGTTTTTGGTGTTTAACGAATTATACAACTTTTGGGCTTCTGATTTTCTGAAATTTTCTTACTCTTTTCTTTTTTTAGTCAGTTTTTGACTTTCTCTAATAAGAGAAGTGAGAACATAACTTTCTTTTGTCAACAACACAACTTTAGATTATAACATGAATTTCTTATAGGTATCAAATATGATTCCTTATAGAAATAATTTCAAAATAAATATTTATTTGGCCGTCAAAAAATATATATATTTATTTGTTAGTATCTAATAGTTATTATAAGAAAATCTGGACATTTTTATATAATTAAGTATTTAGAAAGAAAAAAACATTTAGAGAGACAAATATGTAAAATTTTTGGGCTTTTGGCTAATCCTTTTCCATTTTTTTGTAATTATTATTTTTTAAATAGTATATTATAGTCTTATAGACATAAACTAATTAATAGTAGTACTTTTCTTTTTTTGTAATTTTTTTTCCTTGTTGTATAATTTGTAAAAGACTTATGTGATCCATTCAACGGATCAACTCTCTATAAATTGTCCCAAAAAGCATGGAACAAAAAATTAAATGATATCATAAGCTTCACGACTTGCAAAGTCAACGACAAAAGTCAAAAAGTCGAAACCATTAACCAGCGAGTTCCGTAAAGAAGAAGGTAAAGAGAGGATTTGCGAGTTCCGTAAGGAAGAAGGTAAAGAGAGGATTTGCTGGCTATGGTTTTTAGCAGCTCGGCGATGGCGACGGTGGCGAACGTATCCACCGACAAGTGGCAGCGGATGAGGAGGATTCCGTCGTCGGAGATATTGAATACTCAACAGCTTGTGGAGGTGGCTTGTTGCCTCCCTCTTAGTCATCTCTTCATCTGTCTTTGGGAGTTTCTGTGTTTCTCCATATCCGATTATGATTCTGATGATGATTATGATGATGATGATGTTGATGATGACGATGTGCTTGCTTTTGATCATAATAGTAACGGCGATTATGATGATCATGGGTCTTCTTCATCATCTAACTTGGATTTTGATGACTATTACCATTACCCGGACTCGGATTAACTAAACTAGCTGACCTCTGCTTTCTAGTTTCTAATTCTTTTGGGATTATTGTTGTCTTAGTTGATTAGGTGTATTGTCCTAATTATTAATTAATCTGGTATTCTTGGAGACTGTAAATTTACTCTTGGATATTCAATAACAAAATCAGACATTACGAATTATACCATATCATTTATCCGTTGACCATATGTTTAAATTTCCATCTTTGTGCAAAAGTAACTTGTGGTGATTCTTAAAGATGATCCTAATGTTCTGTTGTGAAAAAGTACATCCCAAATTGTTAATTTTCTTCTCATTTGTGGTTGGACAATGCATGTTTCTACTCATATCAAGACCTTCAATTCTTGCCATTCAGTTTATGTGTGTAGCTTCTGGAGATTTTTTTTATTTTTATTTTCTTGAATTGGTTGCATCTTGGAAGACAACAAGAAAATAAGGACACTAATCATTCTCCAAGCAACTAGATCATGTCCAAGAGACTTGCGGAATCAGTTTTTGTTTGATATGCCTCTTTTGCTACTTGGAAGCTTGTATCGTCTGCTGAGTATAGGTTGTGATCACAATTCAATTGTACACCTCTACCTACCTCTGTTCCAAACTCCTTCAGAATTGGATCACAATCAAGTTGGTTTATGATTTGTCGTCAATATATATCAGCTTCTAGATCTTTTTTGGTGAATTTTTTTTTCTTGGGTTTGGTCTCTCTATATAAATATTAAAACTGCCATTCCGCATAGGTCATGTTGATTTTCTTTATCGATAAATTCTCTCATCTTTTTTATTCCTTGGTTTTGATATGTAGTGAATCTACTGATGTCGCTATAATTATATTACATTGCATGACATTTTCCATGACATATGAAGAAGTAAAAAAAAATTGGATTAAAGGCCTCTATCTATGTAATGATTCAACTAAAAACGAATAAAGTGAAAAAGTCACATGTCTGAATGTATCACACCGAAGACAATATGCATACATCCATTCACACGATCAAGTCAAGGATACATTAGTACCGTGTCTATATATAATTGTTTATACAGCATTGACGAACGAATCATTTTGTACTCTCCAACAATCCATCGAATTAGCTCATGGATCAGAAACATTCAAAATCACTTCTTCACCGCGATTTTGATGTGACTTTTCACATATTTTGAAATGCTTATGAATTTTGGTATGTAAACACCAAGAGATTATGAAGAAGAAGGTGTTCCTCCATTATTCAAAATTTATCATTTATTGAATATGTGCATCATTTGTGATATGATATCATCGTATATTCATAAGTTTGTACATGAAGAAGGATATTTTAAAAGATTCGCATTATGTTTCCAATAATGGAGTAACATGTAACAAAAAATAAATAAAGAGCATACGATAAGAAAAGCTTGTGGCTCCACCTCCTTTCGTATGGTCATAACTCATAACCATCATATCACTATTATCTTACTTACTTACTTTTCTCCATCCCCTCAATTTATATTGCTCCATAAAATGAAATCTTTTACTTGCTTTTTTCCCTCCTTTAATCAATCATACCCTATCACAACGTTGTGTTGTGGCTTTTTATTGCAATTATTATATAAGTTTTGGATAGCCTTTCGCTTTACCGAAATTCCGGAATAGTCTTAAGTCTTAACCCATGTGTAGTAGTCAAATTTAGATAATTCATGTAGACAAATATTTGGGGCCAGCTAGTTTCGTTGTTCTAAGTATATGAGAAAATAAATAGTTTAGTGCCTAGTAAATTTGTTTACGAAGTTCGGTTCTCTTACTTACATATGAAAGTCACATGTAGAAATGAATCCACTAGAACCAAAAGATAGCTACATGCCTACATCGTTAGTTCGTTACAAATGCATAAATCTACCCCATACCTTCACCGCCTTATTTTATTACATCATTTATTTCCGAATTAAAACTAGATTGAATATAAACTTCAAGTCTAAAGTCTAAACGGTACACGTTTGCTTTTTTTAAATAAATTTCGGTGTGACGATAGGACACACACCCATATGCCTTTTTACACTGAATTTCTCGGTACATAAGTCTTCAAGTGCACTAAGGTAGATATCCCATGAAATATCTAAAACTCCCCAAGAGTTATTTATTTGGGTTGCTAAATCAAAGGAAACACCCAAACCTAAAAGGAAACAAATCACTATAATAATCCTTTCCCTCATAATTTCCAAAACTTCTTATTTGTCAATACATCGATGCCATGTCAATTTTTTTTTGCTAAGAAACATCGATGCCATGTAAATAACTCTTCTCAAGACATGGCCAACGTGGTTTCATCAATCATGCATGTTCCATGAGTCCGAATTTTGTTTTAACAATGTGTCTTCTTATTTAATTCATCACCGCAACATCTACCCTGGGCCCTGGCGAGTCATACGTGAGCTTTAGAATTTGATCTAACCGGATTTATCATGGACATATGTTAAATTAATTATAAGAGATGTTAATGCACCATGTGACCTTCCAGTGACATTGCTATCTAGTTTCTACGTTGTAAAAAGTTTATTTATTTATTTAAGTTAAATAAATCATCACTGCAAATTATAAAAAATGTATGGACAAAAAAGGACCAATAAGTCTCAGCAATCATTTATGATTTTACCCTAATTAAGAGATACTATAATAATTTCGAGAGAGGAAATCGGCTTTCTTTAAGACAAGTAGTATATGGTTCCAACGAATTTCACATTGGATTCTACGATTTTTATGACCGTTGGCTAGACTTCCATTTCCCATTGTGTGATTGCGTTGTTCTTGTTCAATGGCCATAACCTGACACGTGTACGGTGAATGATGCAACTTCTCGCACGTGTGAGCTTTGCCTAGACACAGATACATTACGTGCGATCTCTCTCTCCATCTCTCGTGCGATGATGCTACTAGACTGCTGCTACGCTGTCACGTAGTATAGAGAAGCGTGGCTCATCCATGGCTGACGTGGAGTTAACGACGTTACTGGAGAGTTTTAAGTTGAACGCCTCAGTTTTCTCACCGTTTACGTTCCTCCATTCAATGAAGACAAAAACATCCTCGTTTCCAAGCATTTTTGCTTTCATCGAGAGGGGCAAAACAGGAAAATTAATGTGGAAGAGAGCCCCAAGGTTGTCTTCAAACCATAAACACCACGTGACAGACCAATAATACTCAAACGGATTAATTTGAAAAACTATAGTAGATTTTTATAATGCTCCTAGTTAAAGATTACAAGAACCAACTAATTGCCACTATCAAAATAAAAACCACCTAAATTGAATAGTGATTGGTAAGGCGTTTCTAATCTGGCTTCTTTCCAACTTTAATACATTGTCATTTCTCTAAAGATCAAACCCTTGTTTAACAAAAGCAAACAAATCAAAAGTAAACTAATCATGCATATTATTTATAATTAAGTAAATAAAAGAGGGAATGGGTGGGGCCATGGGAGCGAGAAAGTGAAAAGAAAGAGAGAGCTTCCACTATCTCTCAAAGCAGAGGAAGAGATAGAGATTGAGAGAAAGTTTGGATTTTTGTTACAAGGAAAAACCAGACCCACTTTCAAACTTGTCCCCACGAACAGCATTATCATTGTTTGTTTTGTTTGAACTTCTTCTCTTTTAGGGTTTTCTTTCATTGGCTCTGAGGTACTCTTATAGCTTTGGCCTTAGTGTTTGTGTCTGTGTGAATCTTCTCAGCGAAAGCCAAGTTCTTTTCTTTTTGGTGTTTCTGGGTTTATTGTGACAATGGGAGCTGTGCATTTTAGCCTGGTGAAGTTCAATAGAGGTTTCTTAGTGTGTCTATGGCTGTGGGGGATGCTCTCGCTATCCTGCGCAGCAGCAAGGTATGGCGCTTCAAGGCAGAAGTTTGAGGTGAAGAAGCACTTGAATAGGCTCAACAAACCTCCTGTTAAGACCATTCAGGTTCTAAATCTCTCTCTTCTTTACTACTTTGTGTTTTCTCTGTTTTGAGTTTCATTGGAAAATGATAGATAGAATCTGATGATTTCTGCTCTCTCTCTCTCTCTCTCTCTCTCATTCTGTGGCTACACCAGTGATTTGTAACTGTTCATCAGTTAATGCTGGATAAATCAGTTGTCCTGAAGTTTTTACCATTCAATTTAATCGAAATTTACTGTGAAGTAGTGTGTTTTTGTATTATCAGAAAGTGGGGGAAGAATTCTTATAGTTACTTCTTCTTTGTGGTTAAACAGAGTCCAGATGGAGATATAATCGACTGTGTTCCTATCTCAAAGCAGCCAGCTTTTGACCATCCTTTCCTCAAAGACCACAAGATTCAGGTTCAAAGAAAGGAAACACTAATGATTTTGATAACTTTCTTGAGATGTTTTGTTTTAGTGCTAATTTATGGTTACTTGGTGTGTTAAGATGAGGCCTAGTTACCACCCTGAAGGGCTCTTTGATGACAATAAGGTATCTGCAAAACCAGAGGGGAAAGAAACTCATATCCCTCAGTTGTGGCACCGGTATGGCAAATGTACTGAAGGAACGATTCCCGTGAGGAGGACAAAGGAGGATGATGTGTTGAGAGCAAGTTCAGTCAAAAGATACGGCAAGAAGAAGCATAGGTCTGTTCCTATTCCTAAATCTGCAGAACCTGACCTCATCAACCAAAATGGTCATCAGGTGAGTGAAATCAGAAAAGCTTCATATATTGGTTTATCACTTTTGTCGTAGCTTTGTTTGGTATGAGGCAATTTGATCTAAATCTTTGGTTTCTTGAACTCTTGAATGAGCTTAGCACGCCATAGCTTATGTGGAAGGAGATAAGTACTACGGAGCTAAGGCGACTTTGAATGTGTGGGAGCCAAAGATACAGAACACAAATGAATTCAGCTTGTCGCAGATATGGCTTTTAGGTGGTTCCTTTGGACAAGATCTTAACAGTATTGAAGCTGGCTGGCAGGTAAGACATTGTCATCATTTGGAGACGTGAAGATGACTTGTGCAATTTGTTGCGTGTTTTGATTTGTGGTGCTTACAACAGGTGAGTCCGGATTTATATGGAGACAATAACACAAGACTCTTCACTTACTGGACTGTAAGATTTTAAAACTCCCTTTGAATTGAATATTTGTGGTGTATGTATAATATAGCATGATGTTCTTATGTTGCTCAATCTTTCTTCTTGCAGAGTGATGCTTATCAAGCTACTGGTTGCTACAATCTTCTCTGCTCAGGTTTTATTCAAATCAACAGTGACATAGCAATGGGAGCAAGCATCTCACCAGTCTCTGGATATCGTAATTCCCAGTACGATATTAGTATTCTAATCTGGAAGGTACTAGTGTCATAACTGAAATCTTTTGTTTCTCTAAAGAAAAACTGAAACCTTGAGTGAATGTGTTATGTTTAAACATGTCACAGGATCCAAAGGAGGGACATTGGTGGATGCAGTTTGGGAATGGGTATGTTTTGGGGTACTGGCCATCATTTCTGTTCTCCTACCTAACAGAAAGTGCATCGATGATCGAATGGGGAGGAGAAGTTGTGAACTCGCAGTCAGAAGGCCACCACACTTGGACACAGATGGGAAGTGGTCACTTCCCAGAAGAAGGTTTCAGCAAAGCAAGTTACTTTCGGAACATTCAAGTCGTAGATGGATCTAACAACCTCAAAGCACCAAAAGGACTTGGTACATTCACCGAGAAGTCCAACTGTTATGATGTTCAAACCGGAAGCAATGATGACTGGGGACATTACTTCTACTACGGTGGTCCCGGTAAGAACAAGAACTGCCCATAAGCCAGGCATGTGTAGTGTTACTCAGCTTGTATCTCTCTTTCAGTCTTGTGAATTTCCTCCTTGGGTAGTATTAGGCTGTTATAAAAAAAATGTCAATTAGTAAGTTCTCTAGATGATGGGAAGTTTTGAGGTTTGTCTGGTTTTTAACTTAATGATAAGGTGTTTGTTTGTAGTAGTCTCCATGTAACTAGATGGGGGGGAAGTAGTAGGTGTGACTTTAAGTTTCTTAAAAACTCAAAGAAACTTTAGCCCTTAGTATCCCATTGGCATTGATGTCACTCCTTTGTATGTCTCCTCTTTGATCAGTCATTTCTTCACCAGAAAACTTGATAATTAAATCGCCTCTTAATGCTTTGTGTTTGCTTTCAAATCCTCTTTGTCTCTCAACATTGAAAGACAAAAGTGTCACTGGAGATTTGAGTTTTAGCTTAGTTAAATAACAAGTTCATGTTCCACATTATGAAGCTTTGATCTTACTTCAACTCCAAAAAATATTTAACTCAATCTCTCTTCCATCACATAGCACTAGACTTTCTAACCCTTACACAATTAACAAAAAAACATGCGCTAGAAAGAAATAGCATTTGGATTTATTTGGGATCAACCAAACAATCTTCTGATTTCTAGAAACATTAGATAAACATTAACAATCTCAACTCATTGATAGAAAAATTCATAACTCAAATTCAGTCACTTAGCTTCCACAGTAACAGAATCCAATTTGACATACCTGAGGATTAATGGACAACAATTGATGAAATGTCCGCGTTGGTTTTCACGAATCATGTGGGCTAAGATTTATTTATACATGGGCTTACAAAAGCACAATGTTATTCTCTAAAGTCTGGCCTCTTAACACTTTATACATATGATATGCTGTCAAAAAACAAAAAAATATACACATATCGTTCATTTTTTCTTTTGTTGCTCGTTTGATGATTTTTTACTATTTTCTAAAATTTAAGTGTCCAAGTAATGCTGCAAATTAAATTCTTCTGGTAGAGTAATTTTGAGATCACGTTAGATACTTTTCAGCCACATTGATATGGAATTATACAGCTTTATATATAAAATATGATCTATTATAAAATTGTCATTTTCAGAAATCATTGGTAATTAAGAAAATTCCTGACAGTAGTTTCCACATAAAATCTTGTCAAAATGTAAAAGGAACAAAAACAATAAAGTTCGCGTTACAAAAATAATTTGAAAATGTTATCAAATAAAATAAGATAGTCGAAGAAAGCAATTAAATTCAAATTCCACCAACGTTCCATTTTCAAAGTAAAAAAGAAAGTGAACGTAAAAGTTTGTAATCATCATGCACTAGTCGTTAAACTATTATAATTTTTTTTTTTAAAATGTATGCATGAAAGAGAATCCAATTAAAACAAAAAATCTTGTAAAATTATGATCAAAGAAATAATTTAAGGCCTCTTCTTCTATATATTCAAACTAAAATACAAATATCTATTTTGAAAGAAACAAAATATCTATATACTAATATAAATTTCATGAATAGTATTATAAAGTATAAATAGTATAAAGCAAAATGAAAATGAAGGAGCTATTCATTTTGTTTTGGAACTTGGAAAACAACAACAATTACTTTGATTGGTTGGGGCCACATTTGTAGTGAAACCCCATGCTCATAATAATGCATGTTTTGGTATTCAAGCTTTCCGGCTAGTTTCTTTACTGTTTAATGAAAACAAATACTATATAAACCGTTTCTCTATCTAATTCTAGTGAGTTAAAACAAATAAATGGCCGACATATGAAACAGAAAAAAAAATAGGTGTGAAAAAGGATCTTGGGAAAGGAGGTGGATGGTCATTTTCATAGTTTGGTATGATATGAAATTGTGAACGTTGGGGAAAGCATTATCATTATCATTAATTTCAACGAAACTCTTAAGTCTGAAGGCTAAAACGGCTAATTGATCCTTTAGTTACGCAATCAACTTTAGAACTCTATCAGAAATTACAAAACCCACAAGAAAAATACAAAAGCAAAAATTTATAATCAAGTCCATGAATCCCTGAATTCCATCTCAAACTAGGTATTGAGTGTTCATACGCTATTCTTTAGATTCACGAATCATGAGTCAACATAAGGATACCAAATCTTATTAAACTATTATTTTCCAGAAAAAGAACTAATTTTTAAACGTGGAGATCATACATATATCAAGATTTAAAGCTCGATACAATGTATACGAAAGGTTATAGAAATATTTAAAAATGGAACACGCATTTCATAATTTACTTTTGAACGTAGACTTTACCATCTGTATTTTTAACCAAATTAGGAGAAAAACGAATTTGAATCTAATGTCAAAGACATCTTCTAGAATCTAAAAACCCACTAAATATATATTTTTAAAAAACCCATGAAGGCTACACACAATTTACGTATATTTAAAGCAATATTTTGGTCTAATCTACCGTATGAACTAGAAGAAGATGTTAATACTATAGCTACAATAAAACATAGAATAATAGTAATGAATGAGTGGTGAGGTTGTAAAGAAGGAACAGAGTGGTTGAGAAAGACAACAATGTAGTTTGGGCCAAGAGACAGCCAATCTCTGCCAGCTGTTTATACTATTTGGACAACCTGTTTTGTTAATTTCTTTTTCAAGAAGAATAACACCCAATTTCCACTCATATTTCCATATCAACAAATGTTTTTGAAAAATTATTCAAACCTAGCTAAGTGCTTTGTTTAGTTGGATAGTTCAATCACCTGAAGCTAGCTACTCGGCATGATGTAAATTCGAAAATACGATTTAAATAGAACAAAAGTATTAACGTATATGCAAAAAAAATTAACACCAATTGAAATGCCATTATTAACAAAATCAATGGCATTCAAAGATATATTTATTTTAGGACGTCCACTGAAATACATATATTCCATATCCGTTTTAAATTTAAAGTTTTTTTTTTTATAATTTTCTTATTGTTTTAATATGTGTAAAAACACTTAAAATGACATTTAAATTTGAAACATAAAAGAAGGAAATGGTTTTCTGTTTTTCTTGTTTTGCTGTAATTCGGATGCCTTTTCCTTTACTAAAAAGTTAAGTAAAATACTAAGCGAAATATTTTATAGAGACGTCTCTGGAAACAACTTTCCCAAACTTTGGCTTATAAATGCCCTTTCATAACCACAAGGCCACAACAACTCATTATTCGCACCAAAGAAAAGAATAAAACCTCATCACATCTTCTATTGACTAGATTTCTTCTAAGTGAAAAAGAGGAGAAATGGAGTCAATGAACATGAAGCTCATGGTGGTGTTGATGGTGGCTATTGTGGCTTTATCCGCCGTAGGAAACGTGGCTGCGCAGACAGAGGCTCCGGCTCCAAGTCCTACTTCCGATGCTGCCATGTTTGTCCCGGCATTGTTTGCATCTGTTGCTGCTTTGGTATCTGGGTTTCTCTTCTAAACCAATCTCCACATTTCATTGAGTTAGGTTCTAAATTGTTTTCCCTTTTACTTTGGTTTATGTCTTATGGCATGAGCTATTTGTTATTTGTTTCCAATATTTGGACTACTATATTATAGTTGCATGAGTGTTTTGTGTGTATATGAGTCATAATTAATACTATATTTATGGATTGATTTCTTTCTATCAATGTTTTTTCGAGTCTTGGTTAATCGACAATAACCATAAGAAAACATCATATGCATGATATCTAATCTAAGTCCACACAAACGATGTAAACCTCAGACATATGCGAGGGGTATGTTCAATGATGCGATGAGCTGTGAAATTTTGGAAGGTTGTGGTATCGTTGAAAATATGTGTGGTATTTATCATCAACATGATGTTATGTATGGCCTCGAATTTTTCTCAATAAAATTCTAGCGGAACTACTTTTCACTAAAAATAAAACAAATAGAAGTAAAAATGTGAGCACAACAATAAAGCTCCAAAACGAGACAAGAAGGATATATATGAGGAATATTGTTGCAGCAACCTTATAACCTTAAATCCTTAATTGCATCAAACATGCATTTAAACTCAAAAGTGGATATCAAATATAGTTATAAGCATTCCATTTTACATTGTAAAGGCTAGATGAATTTAGTCATAGAAAGTAATTCATAGACAATAATGATTTTGGTATTGTTAAGAGTTGAAACATAACCTGAATATCAGTGTCAAGAGGCCTATCAGATTAACTTTACACTAGGCTAAGTTTCAGACCAACCGAACAAAAAACCACCCACTAATCAAGTAAGAGAATAAACAAAAGATTTTATATTTGGAGCATGGGATGGTATCAGACAAGAACATGTTAAGCCATGTGAGATGCATAGAAGAAAAGTGGTCAGCAGCAAGAATGGGACCATAACCTTAGCTTTTATTTTTCCTCTCCGTTTTTTCTATGTCTGTGAGGAAAAGCGATCCAAAAGCTTTTGTAAGTGGCCGCCACTTTTTTTAGTTTGATTGATTCCTTTTTATTTCTGGAAAGTTCTCTATAGTCATTAACAAAAATTAAACTTGTTGGCATGCGAATCAAAAAGAGCAATGGATGATGATGGCACACAATCTTGATGGAAACCAATCCTTTTAAGCCAACACTAAAGATTGAATACAACTTTTCTTTTGATTGGCTCGGCTGTATATATAACTTAGCACATAAGATATTGAGAACAGCTCTAGCCTCTAGGTCTCAATTATTATTGTTTGCTTTTTGTGTGGTTCAAATAGTAAATAACAATATCTCCGTTTTTGGATAAAACAAAGAGTAATAATCTGCATTTGCATTTACATTTGAATACTGACTAAAATTTTATCAAACAAACATAGTGTATATGTTTTCCAACATAAGTCTTCGCATACCTTTTCACTGAAACACGAATCCTGTCCTGTCCAATGAAAGTTGTAATGCAGAAGCAAAGAGAATAATGGGCCAAAGCCGTATGAAAAAAATGGGCCAAAACAAAAGGTTCAAGGCCCATAACAAAGAGTCAACGACGTGGAAACCTAGCGCAAGACCTATAAATAAAGTGTTCCTCTACAAACAAACCCTAATTGAGAGTCGTCACCTTTCTTCTTCCTTGGATTTTTTTAAAATTGTTTTCTTCTTTCGTTTTTTTCTTTGGGGCATGATGGTGCAGTGATGATGGGTTTATAAATCTCGTTAATCTGAAATTTTTAATGAAGAGACTTACTTCCCAACCATTCATTACAAATCTGAGCACCTTTGTTGTTTTTATTCAATCTGTGTTATGATTATCGCACATAGTTCTTCTTCGAAGCCTTTAGATGCGCTCTAAAAGTGGTTTCGAGGATTTTATTTGTGCGTAAACTAAATGATCCTATCTGCTTGAGTAATCTCTGTTATGTGTTAACCATAGAGTTATGCTCCAATGTTATAGGATCACATTTATTTTATTATTCAAAACTAGGTCAAGTGTACCATCTAACTAGAAGAAACTGGTTACGATTTCTTTGAACAAACGAGATTGAACCAAGAAGATGATGCCATTGAGCTACATGAACTGGTAAAGTACTTTGGATATTGGAGATTCAAAATGTTGAGTTATGTACAAAAACTGTCTGTAACAATAACAGATTCAGACACTATAATGAGTTCAACTACTAACTAATGATTTATCATATTCTCAATTTAGAACCCATCAAATATCACTTAAATACAGCTCCTCTAAAGAAAAACTTGCAAGAGCAATATAAATTTTACAAAAACCACAAGTGTTGGCTTCTCTCGAGGGACTAAAAAAAACACAAGTGAAGCCACACAACTGAACAACAATTACAAATCTTTTTAAGTTTCACATTTTTGTAAATGGAAGAGAAGAAGAAGAAGAAGATGAGACACTTTTCTTCTTGGAAAAATGGGAGTAAATGTACAATCCCAATACTGGTTTTGGACTCACAATATTGTGTTAATGTGAAGTGCTTTGAGGAGAGATGTTGCCATTTGCTTCACCAGAACTTGGCCTCCTGAACGTTGTCCATCTCGTCGTTCTTCTATTAGATTCTGCAGTTTCTGAGGGAGGTCGTTCTCTACAATCAGCTGTTTCGGCCGTGGATGATGTTCGTAAACAGCCTGTTGTTTTAATGATAGCCAAAACCAAACAGTCAAACACCAAGAGAAAACTTATTAGATAATAATATTTGGCTATTCAATGGTTCATTACCTTGATGAGTTTTAGGAGGTTGAGTCTAGCAATCGCATCTTGATGGTCTAGCCTTGAAATAAGTAAAGGAGTCAATCCATTTACAGCTAATGTCTTATTGATCCGATATGATTTCCTGGATTCAAGAATGACAAAGGATTAGACTAAAGAAGTGGGCAACTTCACTTGTACTTCTAAGTCTTAGCTGTAAAAAAGGGGAGAGATACATACGTGATAATTTTCAAGAATGGCTCCAATATATGCACAAAGTGTCTCTCTGGGCAGCTCTGGAAGAAGTCAACTAATTTCTGAATTGCATCTTGCTTGAGCAAGGCCTGCTCCACCTTGCGGTTGTCATTGTCTTGCGCCAAGCAAACAGCGATTGAATCTAAGGCTATCACGGACCAATATTCATCATCGAGTAAACTCAGGTAAACATCCAGACCCCCGTGGGCCCTTAACTGCTCTCTTGAATTCCGAGATGCATGAGCCATATCACATAATAGTGGCAATGCATACTGTTTCAGAGGAGAATCCGACATGATGAAAAGCATCAGATGCGGAATGATTCCGTTTTCAGCCGCTTGTTCCTGCCTCCTTTTGTTTATCTTGCACAGGTTGAATAGTGCACTAAGCACCTACATAAATAAACGTTAAACTTCAATCTTTCAAATATCATACTGGCCAAGAGGTTGTAACCAACAACCAAACGCTACTCTATGAAAGTCAAGAAGGTAACCTCATGATGGATCTGATAAACAAGGTGCCCATCCTTAAGCTCAAGGTTGGGGATCAAATGCTTAATTGCATCTGCACGCTGCAGATTCTCCAAGCAATTTGGATCAGTAGATAAATGATTTGTGCACTCCAGTATCTGGAAAATGAAAGACATTGAAGATCCTCTTGATCAAACATCCAAGCTCGCCAGAGAGAAAAAGTAAATGGTTTAGGAAACCACTTTTGGATAAAAAAAAAACTTCATAGTACTTGCAAGTACCTTTAACAGAATAGGAGGTTCTACACGGTTGAACATCTGGAAAAGACGACTGAGTAAGCTTTGGCTGCACATATATGACTTTACTGTCGTATCAGCTCGAGCAAATTCAAGAAGCAGGTCAGCAACTTTCTCCAAGTATTCCCTTGCAACATCTGCACTCAGGGTAGAGACCATATGGGCAAGTAAACCAGATGATGTGGCACTTCCAGGTCTAGCATTTAGAACACCCGAACCTGACAGTACTCCAGATGCTGTCTGAGATGCAATCCCGGAAGTAGAAGCAACTCCTTCAATAGCCAGAACCTTCTTTGTCATTGTTTTACTGGGATATCTAGTCGTAGTATCAAGATTTCCATTTTCCTTTCCACGTCCAGAGACCTCTGATGAAACAAAGTCATGATAAGGCATAAACAAAAAATCATATATGTACCTGCAATATGAACACTCTTGCTAAACATAAAACTTTGAAACTTACCTGCAAATTCAGCCATCAGAAAATCGAGGTCTCCGTTGTTTTTCTTTTCATTTGATCCATGCAAAAGAGGAAGTCTACTTTCATGTCTCTCTATGCCAGTGATATGCTTAACATAATCCAGTTGACCAGAATAATGTCTTGAAGGGGGTTCTTTCTCCAACAAGCTAAGCAAAGGTCGCACTTGTTCTGTCTGACTAACAGGAAAACCATTAGAGGTGCCCTCTGCCAGCTTCTGAAGCTTATCTGTCGATGTCCTATTGGCGGAGAGAGATATTCGATGCTGTTGTCTGATATCTTCTGTGCCAGACGTTGAGGCATCTGGAGCAACACTGCTTACTCTAGGCCTATCACCATCTGGGTGCAAAGCATCTGGTTGATGGACATCTGATCTTTGAGAATTTGAGGTTGAAGCATGAGAAGGCTCTTCACCAACCCCATGCCTGGTTTTCAATACATCAGGCTGATCAATCATACTGAGTGAAGTCTCATTTTGACCAAAAATAGGATTGTTAGGGTCAAGTTGACCAGAGCGCGCTCGTGGAGCTTGACCATCCACAATCGCGCCCCCTGATATAGAAGCCAGCCGGGTTGCCTCATTCAAGCTATAAAGAGTGTTGATTAGCCTCAGAAGAATTCCATTCTTTGCTGCTATACGGCAGAAATCATTTCTTGGGGTGGATCTTTTAAGTTTAAATACCTGCCACATCCCATCAATAGCCAAGTGAACCATCTCCCTGAACAGAAAAGCCCAAATTAGTAGAATTTAGTGCCACATAGAGAATAAAGCTAAAGAAACCAGAATTGAGTGAAGAGAGTAGAGCTAATTAAGATAATGGTCAGCTAATGTTAGAAGTATCCGCTGTTTTCAATGGAACAAATACACCACAAACATTAACTTCTGAACTTAATATGTGAATAGTCCAGACACCATATGAAGACGGTAAACAGTACCCACCTGTATTTGGCATAATCTGCTTCAAGAAATCCCACCAAAACGGGTATTCCACGGCAAG